GAGAAATTCTTGAATACCTTTATCCTGAACTCAAAATTCCAACTGTCTTGGCATCTTTTCATGAAATTAGTTAGATAATGAACTACAAATGCGCTTGTGCATGATGATATAGGATCGAGTTATTATTAGTTTCAATTTCAGGCTTCTTTAACTGTGAGCACAGAAATGCTGATTCAAATAACATCTGCCAATCTAATTTATTCCACAAATATTCATTTTCATCACTATCTGAACAACAATTATTAATCTATTGCAAGCGAAAAAATCAAAAAAGCTTCTAATCTCCAATTTCGTCCCTGAAAATTTCACACTCATTGATTTAAATACATCTTTTCTCAGTTTCAATGCTCAATAAAATACGGTCTTCAAGTAATATTCAACGGTAGAGGGTTTAATTGTCCTCCTAACGGTGGAAATATGACTGTTAATTTGAACGTAGAAAATACTGTCGTTTCTACAACCATAAAGTGTCCAGCTTGTCAATCACTGTGTGAGGTTAGTTGATATTTTTGTTGTGGTTATTCCTGTCACTTTCGACATTGAAAATATCTCGTTTATGCTACTTTGAGGAGATTTATATTTTAAGTCTCTGCTAATTCTATAACATTTTTACCAAAACCACATGTTGCTAAACAATTTATAATACTTGTTTATAACCTGACAAAATGTTTTATGCTTCAGTGAGAAGAAACAAATTCTGCACAGTAAAATTTCAGAGAGCTATTATCTTTTATTCACACTGAAAAGATCCACGTTTCATCTAACTGAAATGTGTTCTTTATCATGTTGTTAAGAGTGGTTACGAAGTTCAGTATTTTCGACAATCAGCTGATTGTATTCGATGTTATTTTTTAAATGTATTTAACTGGTTATCACTATTCTTTCAAAAAATTTCTTTTTCGTCTACTACATTAGCCATCGTTTGAACAGAATATTTCTTGTCAAATAAGTACGAGTACACTGACAATTGTCAATGACTTGTGATAAATCAAAAATTCAGAGAACGCTGTCGGTAAACGCAGTATACTACATAAATTTTTATATATTTTGGCATACATGAGAAACTAATTCATTTTTGATTATTGTTTTCTCTCCATTATTTACGTATTACAGGAAAATTGTCCGGGGTAGAGAAATACCTAATTACAACGTGTATGAAATGTGTTCATCAGTAAAATATTCATTTGTTGACAGCTAATTGTTTCATTTAATTAACATTATTTGTTTTGTTCAGAATAATTACGATCAAGCATTGAAAGCTATATAACTTTGTTAAAATGCATCTGGATTCATGTGCTTCTCATGTTATTTTTGCATGACTGAAATGCTATGAATAATGATTACTCCTAAAGATGGAAGTAGATTCCTGTATCCGTTACAAAATTATACTCTTATGCAAAATAGCGTTGATAAAAATCAAATCGATAGACACAATATCATGTTTTGGAGACAGTAAAACGGTACATCGATGAACCAATTGTATAACTACAATTGTGATTTTCGTTTGGTCATTCAATATCTAACATCTAATATCTTCTTCGCAAGCTAGTATAAAGCTATTGATATTTGTTCTTTCTATACGTATCAGGTATTTGGCAGTTTACGACGAGTGTTGATCTAGCCACATGAATACACTAATTCTAGGAGGTTTGCAGTTTTTAGTGAGTTTGTTTGTCCCATGATTTGCATGAGAAGGTTAGTTTCAGGACAGTAGGGTTTCCGTATACTATATACTATACTATACTATACTATACTATACTATACACGTTACCCGGTCGGTGGTCAGTTGGTTGTGATGTGGATAATATAATGCAGAGAAAACTCTAATGCTAATGAGAAGATTTATGAAATAAGTCAATAAACGCTTCAGTTAGTTAATCGATTCGCGATAAATATTATGTGTGAAGATCGAAGTTTAGGTGAAGAAAAAGAAACATAGATAGTTAGTGCAGTAGAATTAGTTTCTCATTCAAGGTAATTCCAAAAATTACAACCGGCAAGTTTAAAGACATGCATCAGGCATAGCTGGTCAATGAGTGAGATGATAATCCGTATGTGAATATGTGTCCTGTCCTTGCAACTATCCACATAGTGTTGAGCGCACCAGAGTTATCCTAGCTTTTGAACCAACTGATATACTTTTTCTTTATGACTCACTATTCATATGCTTACAGATGTTGTCTATTACAAATGCTTGGTCATGTCTCACTGCACTGAGTTTGTTTGTTGAAAAAGCATTTCCTGAGAAAGCTTTACAAAACAATTATTTATAAGCCTATTCATCACCAACATCATCAACAGCAACGTGGAACTGTGCACGTAAGTACAGAAGTTCCAGTTTCCACACCACACAAGCACACAAATCCCACAGCAATAGGGGTGGTACTAGAGGTGATCTGAGAGATAAGGGTTTGAAAATATTATTCAATAAGTACAATTCAGTGGTTTTCTTGCGATATTTTTCTTGTGTCCAGTAAGGCGCAAAGAAATACGCACTCGCACTAGAGCACGGTCTTAGTCTAAACAAGTGCTCCAAAATGAGTGGCAGGTGAAACTGGACTGTTTATGAAGCAAAATTTGTTCTTTTTATTGCATATACTATCCTCGGAATATTTATTTTTCAAAGTAATCAATGCAACTATTGTTATCATACTTTATTTTGACGTCCATCATTCACGCACTAATCTGCTTCAGAGATTTAATCACCCGTAGAATGATGACATTATCTGTATCACGACATTACATGATAAAAACTGAAAAGGTTATATTATGTTGGTAAGATTTGTCCAACTGAAAATAAGCTTTATTAATATTCATTTTTCACATTTATTGAATGACTTCCTCCTGTTGATATCAAGTTATAGGGAGATGTTCACTATAACCTTACTCTATAATGAATACTTTGCTTGAGAAATAAACCCGTTGAGTATGAAAAGTTATGGAAGTAGTTTAATTTATTAATGCAAACACAAAAATAATTATACTTTGAACTGAACTGACAGCGTGTTTTACTTATCCATTAATTACTGAAATATTCTGACGAACAGCAATTAAATTAAAGTGAGATGTGGTTGGTTAGATGGTTGCATTAGTTCATATTTCAATTCCACTTGAGATAGACAATATTACAGTCTAAAATATTGCATATCAGACAGAAAGTGTATAGCGTGAAGTCAACATAACAGCAATCAGATATATCAATGAGATTTATTCAGTCAGTCAGTCAGTTGCAACGTAGAACTTCGTACGTATGTACATAAGTTCAGGTTGCCATATCACATTATTAGCACAGAGACGCAAATATCAAATCAAATCCCACAGTGATAAAGATAGTAGAGGTATTAATGTTAATAAAGAAGACTAGGGTTTAAGGTATTATTCAAAAAATATAATTCAGTGAGATAAGGTTAGAAAGACAAAGGTAGAGGTGCTGACGAATCCAGAAGATTAGGATTTGAGAGAGCTCAAAGAGTGGATGCACCTGCGCCATTACAAACGATTTTGAGCCATGTCGTTCAAGGTCTCTAACCATTGATGACTTTCGTCTCGCGGACCCCAACCAGGTAGTGTACATCTACCAACATGACTCAGTCCACTTGTCAGTGACTTCATGGATTCCTGCCATGTTTTGGTCTGGCCGCCCCTAGCTTTCTTCCAACCTACTCCTACACCACAAAACATAGCTCGTCGAGGCAGTCGGTGGTTAGGCATACGTAACACATGTCCCAACCACCTCAACTGATGAAGTTTCACCACTTCATCTATTGATCTGCCATCCTTACCTAGTACTCGTTTCCTAACGACAGCATTGCTTACTCGGCTGTCCCACGATATACGAGCAATGCTTCTTAAACATCTATGATCGAATACTAGTAACCTACGAACATCTTCTACTCTCACTGGCCATGTTTCACAGCCATATAAGAGAACGGAACGAACTGTTGCGCAGTACACCCGCCCTTTGGTTAGCGAACGGATATCTCGCCTATGCCATAAGTGACGCAGGTTGGCAAAAGCCAATCGAGCTTTCTGTATCCGAGCTGAGATTTCGTCAGTCACCAGACCGTCAGCACTGATGAGACTCCCAAGATAAGTGAAGTGATCAACACGCTCGACTACTTCACTCCCTATCACTAGTTCAGGTGCCGAAGCAACCCAGTCTTGAAGCAACATTTTGCATTTCGAGGGGGAAAACCGCATCCCGAACATGCTTGCATTGTTGCTTAGGGTAGTCAGAAGACTCTGCATTTTGTCAGCGTCTTCAGCGAATAGAACTATGTCATCGGCATATTCTAGATCAGTAAGCGACTTTCCTTGTAGAAGGTCAACCCCTGAAAAATCTGACGAGCTTAATGTTAACTCTAAGAGGATGTCTACGAAATGAGATTTATTACATTATGTTGTTACATCCAAACAACGTACGCTATTCAAATCACTAACTTTTCTCCTTTTCACCTTCAGATAACTTAATCAAGTGACTTAGTTTTATGTTTGAAATAATACAGTTTTACTAGTTCCAAGAAATTTCATGCAAACTTTTCAGATTTATTTGTAATGAATTTCGACAGCGGAAAAGTCATTCGTTGATGTAAAAGTTGTCCTGTGGTGATCTTAGGAAATTTTCTGTTAACCGAAATTCCAACACAGTTCACACATTGTGTACATAAACGTTATAATTAGTTGGAGATAAATAATAAATATTTTGTCAAAATATTTAACGATAAGAAGTTCATTTAAGCAGATTAGATTAACTGTTTAGTTCACGCATTTAGCATAATCTACTGTATAAAGGTTGTTGTGATTGTTTGACTAAAGTAAATCATTGACAATCCATCATATAGTTTTCTTAATTAACACAGGTTAAAAACACACCACAATCAGAAAAAATCTCTATATTGTCAACAGATTGAAAAACAAATAGATAAACAGGTTTTATGAATGGAGAAAAAGATACGTCTAACATTTGATTGAAATAAAACTGTTACAAGTGTGATTCCATAGTAGAAAATAAAAATGAAATAACAAATTTTGTTGAGCTTTTCATGAAATATTCTTAGTTTCTCATTGATATACAGAGTACTCCACGTAACGGATATCACTAAAAAAATATGATACAGAAGTTTTAAAGTATAATCCAGCAACAAAATAAACAGATGAACTCAGACGGAATATGAAAGAAAGTGTATAAGTATTTGAAGATGACTGAGTTTCATTGAGATCATGAACCGATAAGTAAAGTCGCACTATAAAGTAGATTGAATAAATTTAGGAATTAGTATCAGTGAATGTTATACGTTTGGTAATCACGAATAATGCTGATGCTTCTCAGTGGGACATGAGTGTGTACATACTGTGGATGTACACACATGCTAAGACAAAACGGCTACCTTGTGTTACCAGTTCTTCAAAAGTGACCTAATCTTGATAGGTTCATAGTTGCAATCAAATACTAAACAGCAAACTAATGACTATCAACAATTTTATTTTTTTTTTATCGAAAACTTATTGATAAAAAATTACCATGGATAAAACGATTATCACATCTTTATTCCTCATTAGTCTTTCGACTAGTTATTGTTCCAGACATTTCACACTGTTTTAGTCATAATTTGCTTGAAATGTTGATGTCATGAGTTAAAGTCAACTATGGAGAAATGACTGTTCAATAACTTTTCAATTAATATAACAGGTAAATTAATGTCAGCTTCTGAAGAAATAAGTTTCGTGCAAATAGAGGATCTAACTGTTCTGAAATTGTAGGTGATTGTGGGATAGTAAATCAATCAGGTTAGGTAATAGCTCGCAATAATCACATGATCACTTTCTGTGGGCCCTCTAGAATAGTATCAATGTATATGGAACCTGAGAAATTCTACTTCCTTCGGAAACCTTTACGAAAAACATTTACAACTATTCGAGAGAGACATGAAACGTCATACTTCAAATCTGCGGCTCTTCTGTTTATATTTATCCTATATTTCATATTATGCAAATCAAGTAACATTACTAATGACAGTTGCAAGATGATGTACTAAAAACAGCCCTCACGCTTTTAAAGTGTGACAATGAGATCATCTTGAGCTTTGAGTACTTTGAGGGCAAAGAAACATTCAACCCTGACACACATATTGAACCCAGCATTTCAGATTAAACAATTAGTAGACAAAACAAATATGCATTGAATTAAGCTGGCAGTTTTCACACTTAACCTGGCAAAATTTGTTTGCTGGAGGACAATTGATTGCTCCTCGATATATTTTTTCTTTATTCTTGAAACTGAACGATTGTCTGCCTCCTTTTACCGGACATTTAACTCTTGATCCTCTGAAATCCACTATGAGAATCTTTTCTGGAGTACAAATATACTACAAATTATAGGGGAAAATATGTTTAGATTATCTAATTGCAAGCTACTGGAATCAGAATAAAATTCTCAATGAGTAAACTAATGAGAATGAACACATTTTAAAACCGCTAATTTTTTTCTATTATGTTCATAAATAACAATTCTGTGAGCTGATTTCACAAATTTCTTGGAAAGAAAACACGTAAGAATTCTAGAATCAATTATAGTAATATGATTGTACAGACATCTGTTAAGTCTTCAAATGTTAAAAATGAATTATTCTTAGATGCGATGGGGGAGATATTTGATGATTACTGTAAATAATTAACCAGTCATTCTTATGCAGACACAATGTCATATTTTTCTGCTAGTACATAGGTGTTCATATCATAACCGATATGCATAAATGAACATCAAAGCTGATAGTATTGTTACATGTAAAAGTATATATATAACGTTTAAATATATTTTTATGATATGTGTTTAGTTGCCTTAATGTTTTTGGATTAAGTTCAGAATAAACTACTGAAACAGCAATTTGAATTCGTTTTATTTAAAATTTTCCATAACTGATACGTGGTCCGTCTAGTTTATTTTCCAGTTCCCCATAATTACTACTTTACTTTCTCTATTTTTTTTCCACATTAATCTGGTACGAAATTATATTTCATTGTTTTTACAAATATAATACGGTTAATCGTCATCGTTCAACCATTATATTATTTTAATCTTTGTAATATATATATGCCTATGGGCTAGCATTTAAATACCACATGCAACAAATCAATGTCATGGAACATTGTGTTCTGGTTGAAATTAGACATCATACACTTGTGAATCACTTCTCGGTTGTCTGAAGGTTAGCTGTTCGCGCGTGAGACACCAAGTGATGAGTTCAAATTTCATATGACGATTCGTGGATGAGTACCAGTGAAGTGTCTTATATACGAGAATGAAATGAAAGTTCAGTGATTCCAGATTTTCACTGGTGGTCTGTCAACCAGAGGCAAATTAATTAATCATCTCTATGAAAACGTCACAATTCCAGCTTATCCCGTATACAAGTACATGATCGAGGGAAACAGGTGTGAATTCAGCTAATGAAATAAATTCCTGTTATTTTATCCTGGTTGTTGTACTGGTTTGATTCATTTATAAAGCTAAACAAAATTTTTAGTGTAATTATAACTCACTTTATGACAAGTACCCGTTATACTTTGATCTAACGTGTATATAAAGCGACCGAGCTCATATGTCCAAGGTCCTAAATGCTTCACACAAATGGCTTTTTTTCCAAAAGATTGTAGATAATCATTTGAATCTGAATCTATCAAAAGTAACATATCAAATTATTTGAACAGCCTAATAAAATACATTCCTTTTCATATATTGAAATGTAATGATGAGGTGTAAAGTTATATCTATAGTTGAATCGGAGTTGAACAGCCGTCTCAATGTGTTCTCATGTTTTAATGGATTAGACAGACTGTTTCTTCTCCGAAATTCATTGATCAGTGTAGCATGAGTTTTATAGTTATTTCAACCAGACAAATATTTAAGATCATTTTCCAAAACTAATAACCATTGCATTTGGAACAAAAAACAAACGCTTTACTTAGACATTATATATCACATTATTTTCAACGAAGCATCTGTTTATACAAAATTTGCATCATAATCATTTCACAGTCTTAGTGAGTCTGATGAATAGAATTTGTCAAATTTTACTACTTCTAATCATAACCTACAGTTATTTGAACTTACAGTGAAAGTCATTCATTCGCAGTCAATGTTCATCTTTTGATGTGCACAAGATTATGCGAAATATTAGGCATATCTATTCACATTGCACACTCACTCACTCACTCACTTAGATGACAGTCATAATTGCTTTCATGTCTATCCGCTCAATCACAAAGAAATCGAAATATATGCTTTCATAGTTTGAGCACAGAGTTATGTACCACAATTTAATAAAGCTTAGATACAAATTGGGAAATCACAATAATAGCGATTTGAAAATTATATAAGAAGAAATTGCAGTTGACATTGCAAACGTTTCTTTGGAGATCTGTTTAGCATTGTTATAGCATTAAAATATTTATGTAGTCCAAATTGAAATTGTTTAGATAATATCTCGTACCCACTGCAAAAATCAGTGTGTATCTAGAATCAGTGGATAAGTGGATAACGCGATAGTGTTTGAACCAAATCTTACTTAGCGCAAATCTCGAAATGAGCAACAACTCTGAGATGCAAGCACAACCAGCTGAAGTTAACTTTCAGACAGAAGGAAATGTGTTTCCTAAATTCCACTTTCAGCTACATCCTATGTAAAATTGAGAATGTATGATTGACAAATAAATAAACAAGAATATGAATATTTTATTGCAATATACTGACCTGCAATTTGATTATTTTCATCATGTGTACAAAACGATGTAACATTCAACGATCCCAGTGAGCTCAAATACTGAAAGAATGGATTTTTATTCAGTGGTGGAAAAATTTTAAAAGGTTTTACAGTTTTATCTTTTATTAATTTCCAATTGAATTTCTGTATGGCTAAAAAATCAGTGCACATTGCCGAAATGTTTTTGAAAAGTAACAGTATGAAATAAAGACTGGCTTTCATGATACAATTTAGTTTGAACTTTCTAAAAAATGTTTCTTTTTTCGAATAACAGGAACTCAAATATTTTACAGACATTCTTGAGTTTGTTTACTAATGGTACACATAAATTGCAAGTTTTTTTTTCAAAGAATGTATATACTAAAAGAACTATAACTAATAACGAAAATTTAGATTTCCCTAAATATGTGAATTAATTTCTGCTACCTTTCAAATGATGTATGTTGTAAAATCGAATATGATACTGTTTAGTATAGATCTAATGCGTGAATAATAAAAATCATGAATTATGATTTCCATCTGACTACATATACATGAAAAATGTGACTGAAAAACTAAAGAAAGAAGTAGATAGAATTCTGCAGTCAATTTCTACTATGTAACGTGAACTCAGGTAATTTGACTATTCAGATTTGAAACTATCCGTACGATGTATCTACATAAAGATTGATGAGCGGCTAGTTCAATGAAAGAGAATATTTTCTTAAGTAGACTTATATATGTTGTATCAAAAATGAATGTATTACACTATACATTTACATGTTTCTTTAGAAATGAAACATTTCTGAACAACTAGTTCTTCTGCAGAACTTCATACGAAGTTACTCAACGAGCTTTCCGTCTATAGAACACCAGGTTTAAAGAATAGGGAATTATGAAGTGCGATTTGATTGTTGAACGATAGCGAAATAAAGGTATATGTTTGTGAAAGCAATAAACAATTATCCATAATTAAAACAGTTTGAATCTTTTAACAAACATTGCAATCAAACTTGGTTTACGGTATTGTAATGTAGTTTGAAACAAATTTACATGAATTGATATGATAGAAGTGAATAGTAATATGCTGAGAAAATTTTACTAATCTATCTCATTACCTTTGCTAAACAAGAATAATAATATTTCAAATAATAATATTGTTGGTTTCTTATTAGATGTTGAAAAAAAATAATAACTATTGCCTATTGCATAAAGTATACAAAACTAGCAAATATAAATTGTGGCTAGTAGTTGCAACCACTATATACGTTTCGGTCTGTTTAAGACTCATGAGCAGGATGCAAACGTATTCCAAGATTGATAATCACTTCGCAACTAAAACTTCATGAACTTGTATGATAATAGTTAGATTGTTTGTGAATTAGAACAGTTTGTCCATAATATATTAATACTGTTTCGCCAATCTTATAAAGTCGACTTTCCCGTCTAGTCACCTCTCTCCAGATAAACTAAAATCGTTTGAGATGAGAATATTGATTGGACTTTTCATGGGGAATCACAGAGTTAAACATTCTTTGTTTATTTTTATCCATTGTGAACTGTAAACACAAATTAAAAATCATTCTCTCAGCTACTTTCATTAAATTTAAAACTTTGGTTAACTCCATCTATTCAAGTTTACTTTGACAAAAGACGTCTTAGGAGTTTTTTTATTTAGAAAATAAATCTCACTTACGCCGAGTACAGGGCATTTGTCTTTGAAATTCTGACTTCCTCCATAATAAGGATAATCACTGCCAGCGAAAGAATTACGATCGAAAAATTGATCTTCTAGTGGTAATGGTCTCTCATATCTTCCAATTGCGCACATCCCATACGAATAGTCATCTCTACACCCAATGGTGTGTGGTTGATCGCAGTAGGGGAGAATGGATTCGTTACTGAAAAACATAAAAGGTTATTGTTTATCGATTATTAAAATCCTTCGAAACCAATAAGCAGTTAAAATATAGAGGGTAATGCAGTGAATAATTTTAAAATCGATCTCAATGGAGCAGATAAATCATTGCTTCATCTTGCTGCAGAACTACATATCTCCAATGTATTTGCATACCTGGCTTTCAACTTGATGAACTTGGGCGATAATTTCCTAAAGATTTTACAATAACAATTCAGTTTTAAAAGCGTTCATCCGCCTAAATTCATCTTAGTGGTTGATGTGGTATGCAAAATTGAATCAAAGCATTTTGCTGACATATTCTATTGATTAACATAGACATGATTTATCATGATAAGTTCTGATTTGAAGAAAGCATTTGAACAAAACTGTTTGGGTGAATCGTAATAAGAATAGTAGGAATTGCCTGATCGCAGGCTGACGATATAATTAACATAATCTGTATGATCATTTTACGCACACACATATTTCATAATACACATTAAGGATGAATGAAAACTTTGGCATACCTCATTCTTTTGTATTTTGCATAAGCATAACAGCTTTGCATACTAAATTCGCAACCCAGATTGTTACCATATTTCAACGGCTCTGCCCTTTGATAATTGACATTATACCATCTGAAAGTTCATAAGTTCAAAAAACATTTTCCAAACATTCTCGTAATGTAAAAAAAAAAAATATGAAATTGATTATGTTGAATGTACTCATGTTTGTTAAACTCATTCACATACATTAGTTTCTCTTATCGTAGAATTTGGTTCATTGTATATGAGAATCATTGTTCACTAGAACTGTTTAACAACCAGTACTGTAATTGGCATTCATCAGACTTATCTTTTCTTCAAATAATCAAAAGTGACTTTTCAAATCTGAAATAAATATAAATTGTATGATATCTGATCTATAACACCATTGGGATTAGTTAGCGGAAATTATTCATTTAGTAAGTTGTTCTTCAGTGAGGACTATCAGGAAATCGTAAATTGGGATTTTTTTCTCTTTTGTGATGCAAACTGAAGTAATTTCATGTCATAGAGAGGCCATACTAGGCTATCAGAACAACAGTTTAATTTGAAAGCCCTTTTGATCAGTTATTTATCAATACACAAAATTTATTAAACGCATTCCAAGGGACTGGACATTAGCGAAATTCAACAGAAAATTATTTAAAATGAACATAACAAACAAACTACTAACCCAGAATCATCGAAATATGCAAATGTGAGTCTCGAGGCAAAGGAGTCTATTTCAGAACTAGGGCTCATTAGTTCAGTCTACAATAAAATAAAGAGACATGATAACATAATATTCTACATTTTAAAACATTATTTTTTCACGATCAGCTCTCAAGTGATTATTTTTTTATGTACATTTTGTCAGATAACATGCATTGTAGAAACAAACTGTTACTGTTAGCAAAACAGTAACACACATTTTATTTGTCTACTTCATAGCCTTCTATGTAAAACTGTAATGCTCGTCAACTGATATGCTTGAAACTATTACGAGTTCACCCTAGTTGGGTAACGAGAACGATGACCAATGAATCAGTGATTCGATAGTCTCCTCTAATCCGAGAGTCCCATAGTCCCATTAAGTAGAGGCAGAAGTCTTGATATGGCGTAGAAAATGCATTCTACAGGCACGCAGAAAATCGAGGTACACAAGCACACAAATCGAGTTTAATTATGCAACACGAAGACGTTCTTGAGAGAACCACAAAAATAGCTTATTCAAAAATAACATCAACTAATAACAGTCGAGGATTTTCCGGTTGAGAAACGAAATCTCAAGGTCTACTGATCAGTCCATGCTCTAAAACATAAAATCCAAAATTAGGACATTTATCAAATGGGTTCTGTGGATCTGACGTCGTCAACAAATACTATTATTAATCTAAACACAATTTATTTTATGTTAATACTATTAGTACTGTCTTCACGTTTGTCAGTTGTCTAGCTACAGTTTTCTGGCATTTTTTTAAAAATCAAAGAAGACTTTTCAGACAAGAAGGTAATTTTATTTTTTGGAAAATACCACCTGTTACGAGTTGAGGATTGTCGCTTCTACTTTGAAACAATTATCTCTTAAACCATGGTGGTAAAGTAGTAAGCTTCATATGAACATTATCATATCGTAATGACCTTAATTTTAATCTTATCCATTGAAAACACAATCACTATTATCGTATATTGCTAAAACTCTGTCAGAAAGCTGATTTAAATAGAAACTTTTACAAATTATGATTGATGTAAAGACAAGTTACAATGCAAATTATTTCTTACTGAGAATAATCTTCCATCAAAATGTGTACCTCTTGAACCTGGAGCTCCTTCATTCTCTAAATCAACTCCATCTGTTAATGGACATCTAAAATGTTTCTTAGCTTCTTTCTAAAAGAAATTGAATCAATATGAAAATTTCTTTCAAATATTATTGTAAAAATTATTGTTTTATAAAGATATTGTTTATCGCCAACTTATATTCTAACAGTCAATCTCACTACTGTTTACACATTTCATATTAGGTAATAAATGAAAGGTTTTATTACATACTCTCAAATGACTTTCAAAGCTGAATTATTTCACAATAATATTCATTAGTCAATTTTCTTAGAGCTTCTAAAAAACTTAATTATCCACCTACTAATTTCTATTATCTCTAATGCAGCATGAGCCGCCGACCAGCATTGTGCAATCTATTCTGCCTTCAGCCTACCGTACCAGGCCTTTCCGATTGTCACTCATCCTTTGCATGTCTGCTTCTAATCGAAGGCGTAATATGTTATCTGATCTTCTTTTACTTTGGATTTGAAGATTTCAAGTCAGGGCTTGTCGTTCAACACAGTTAGGTGCTTCTGGTATTGTGTGCACCACGTAACGTGCACCAGTCAAATCACTCTTGTCGGGAAGCTTTGAAGGACGTAGAAACCTTTACATATCTAGTAACCATCATTGATAAACAAATCAAACCTGATGTAGATGCGAAGATACATATAAGTGCAGCAAGTGTAATATTTCTACATCTGAAGAACATGCATAACTCAAAACAAATGTCAACCAACACCATAGTCAGAATTTTTGAAACAAAAATCAAGGTAATTTTACCATATAAAGCAATAATTTGGAGAACCACAGAAGCACTCATCCAATAATACAGGTGTTTATAAGCAGTTTTCTACACATATACATCCATTCACCGAACACCATCAACAACAGTCCACTCTCAGAGAGAGCAAACTCGATTTCGGCTGCGATAAAATCTTGAAAAAAGCACTGGAAGTATATTGAACACACTTTTCCGAATGCATCAGACTGCGTCTCAAGCCAATCCCTTAGTTAGAATCCTCAACCACAAAGCAAAATAATGAGGTCAAAGAACACATTACGTTGATATTTGGACGCAGACATAAAACGAAAGGACAGCCATGGTTGAGAAGTGAAAAGAAAGGCTGAGAACAGCGTTGGTTGGGGAATGATGGTCGACTGTCTATTCCACATTCAGCCTAACTGGTGAAAGTAAGAAATTTTAAAGTCCAAAACTTACAACTAGAGATTCGGTAACAAACGAAGGAAATGTTTTTCGATATATTCCAGCTGCACTGACCCATTCTCTTGTAATGTCTTTAATAGTTTTGTCACTATACACAATAAACATACAATACAGTTGATTGATTTTTATATTGGAAAATTTCAACGTATAGGACAAGCAAAAATTCAATAAATAAATATTTGTTTCGCTCTTTCATATATGTTTGCTTAACGCAAAATATGAAGTACAATGCGATACATACTTTAAAGCTATGGATTTTCAAATATAGATCTACTGAATTTACAATATTGAATAGTGTAAAGTACTGAAAATTCGTTATTTCCCATTCATCACTGATCTTATCTGCTAATAAAGCATGAAGTTTTAAAAGTCTAGAATGAAAACTAGTAAACATGCCTTGATTTTTGACAACTAAAGTGAAAGAAGTAATTTTATTTGAAATCTACTGATCTCACGATACTTATTCGCTAATCATGATTATATTATTCTGCAGCTTTCTTCAAACATCTTTTTTTCAAATAACTTACATGTGCATGTAAGGGTTGTGGTGACAGTTTAGTTGCTTTTATAAATCATGAATCAATCAATGCTAGACCACCATGATTGTAAGAAGTGACTCAACATTCCTCACAGGCATTTCATACAAATTACCGCGTGCTCACTAGTGATTGGCTCTGTTAGGAAGTTTATCCGAGTTTCAGTGAGAAGTTGCCACCAGTGAAATTCATCCTTGTGAAGTAGTGCACCATGAAGACAGTCGATCAGGTTGCATGGATTGTTCGAAGTTAGACATCGCCACAGATAGATAATGTCTTAATGGACCAGAGATTAGTTGTTCGTGAGCAAGACCAATTATCTTAAGTTTGAATACCGTGAGTAGCGGGAGTCGTAAACGCTCACAACGGATGATTCCCATACCAGGACGAAACGGCTGTCCAGTGCTACCAGGTTTCTAATGGTAGCCTAGTATTGATCGATCCATGATTTAAAAAAGAATGCGATATTGTCAAGTAAATACGAAACTAAAATGCTATTAGGTCAACAAATAACTATTTCTTTGAAATAACTGCCAACTATATTAATAACAAATAATTATTTAAGAAACATACCTAGGAATATATAAACCAAATTCGTCTGTATGGAATGGTCTTTTGGTTCTTGGATTCCTTACAGTACGTGCACTTCCATTTTTATAGCGCATAAACGCAAAATGTTGTTTTGAAAAACCCTTGTACATTGATACGTAAACAAAATGTATACATCCAGACGAATTGTCAATTGTTAGGCATCAAGAAAAAAAATTATGAAACTATTTTTCCACATAATTTATTTAGTAGAAAAAAGTTAACTGTGGAATGATAAAACCAAATGCTTTCTAGAAATGAATGCATTGATTGCGAGTATATTCCATTGTACATTGAAATACATTACTAATAAGTAGTGTTGTGGATAATGCTTTCAATAGTTTCATATTTAGGTTAGTTTGAGATTAGTTTATTTAATCTAATGAGATAGTACATCTATCTATAATCTTTAATTTCTCTTACTCTAGCATAAACACGTTAGTTAATGGAAACTAAAAATACAGAATAATTATTCAGAAATTTAAATCCTTTTCAAAGTAAAATAATTTTCATCAATGGGACCAGATAACTGTCAATCTATTGGAAGACGTTTGAAGTATATAATGTATGCTAACGAGTCCTAACCTAGTTGTAATAATAGTGGAATGCTTACTGTGACATCAAATTATTTTTCTCTAACCGGGTGATAAGATACGACTATATTCATAGGAAGTTCTATATCAGAGTGAAATAGTAGCCTATCATTAAGCAATTCTCAACAGTACCCTGATAGTAATCAACCATTGACAACTACTTTTTACAGGTTTACATATAAGTAGTATAAGAAGGGACGTGAAAGATGAAGTCTCACGGTCAGAAGAGGAAAACGGAAAGCAAATGGAGCAAAAGCAAGAAGTAAATGGAGTACCGACAGGAAGGAAAGGAAGCAACAACAGGAATGGAAGAAGGCTGGAGCGTTGGAAGGCAGGACTCAAAGATGGTGTGCAAATAGAGTGTTCAATTTTATGTTTTCATTTTTAATTGACTGCCTCAGTCTTCTCACTACTACAGGCTTGTTTATCATATAATATCAATTAGTAATTGTTATCAAAATAAATTTAATCAAAGATCAGATAATTATCATATAGACTTTATATTGAATTATAAATCATTATTACTTACAAGTGCATGTGCTATTTCATGCCTAGCAGTACCGTACAAACGTCTACCTCCAGGATACTTCATGACCGTTCTGAAGGGACAAAAGTTCACGTAACCTACAATCGGTCTACAATATGAAAATTTGGGTAAGGCATAGGACAAAAATGACAACATAAAGTAGGTGATAGATAACTCAACTCCTCCTGTAGCTCTCATACTTAATAGAGGTCTATAGTTGACAAATCGAAGAAGGGTTGACAGTGCGCCTACTTCCACTATTTTGTAAAGATAAACTTTATTCAAAAACTTACACTTTATAAAAAAGAAACACTGTCCAAAGTAAACGGGTCGATCCATCTTAACTCTATCAAGAGGATTGCGGGGTCTTTGCTTAACTGTGAATTCCGGAGAGCCTTCAAAAACAAGTCTCATATAGAATTATTAGTACTAGGTAAGGTTTTCAACACAGTGTTAATGAAGCAAAAAACAAACTAGCTTTCATTAGGAAGGACCAAGTACCGGGTGAATAGATGATCATTGTAGAATCTTTTTCGACAAACTGGAGTACCTGTGAAGATGTTCACCAAAATATGAATATATAATTAATGAATATCGTTTGCAGCAACTCTAAACGACTGCACAAGAAAAATTCGTTTTGAAGACATTTTGTCGGCTGTTGATGTTTTCCAAGGCTCAATGAACTTAAGTATGTGGTTCATGCAATTAATGCGCTATGTTTAAATTCGCTGATTTTAGCACTAACGAACACTACTGTACAGTCACGAAAATCAAGAAGACTATTTAATATATATTTACATCTGTAATGTGCTAGTGAGTTGAGCATAACATTTTTCCAAACTTTTATGTCATTCATTTCTTTATAGGATAAATATTCTCTCCTTGGAATATTTGGCATATTTCATTCATTTTGTACTAAAAATTCACAGTAGTGTCAGCTGATTTCAGATAAACAAGTAATTAAAAATAGCTTTCATATCAAGTTTTTATTTCTGAAAGGAAAACGATGTTTGTGTAGAAAAACAATCCATAGTCCAATTTAATGGAGATAAAACGAACATGGTTTAGCTACTGACTGTTTCAAATACTACTTCTTTAAATATATACTACTCATTATTATTGCAACCAAAAATTGATTATTCTCACCTGTCAGTATCTGGATCAATGTCACAGGATGCAGCAAATGCATTTGTGGTAATAGAACGACAGCTTCCTACTGTGCGACTATCGACAATCAACAGATAGTTATTTCGTAACATTCCTTTGCCTTTACCATAAAATGTCACTAAATGTCGATTATATCTCTGGAGACAATCCTTTCAAATAAAAAAACTTATGAAATATTGTCAACCAGCATGCCTTCTCAATAAATAATTTATCACATTTCTTTACACAAAAGTTCATTCATCATGGAGAAACTGTATAACATCATATTTCTTTTGTTTTTGTTTCTCATAGCATTATGAAATAACCTGTTAACCTGCGTAGAATGCCTTGTGGCGTTAGACTTTCGTTATCTTCTATTTCCCGTATATCTCTGTCTTGATGATCGCTACGAGAGAAACACAAGTCGTTGGCACAATTTCCTTATTATTATTCAAATTATTTTATGATCGATACAAATATCGCATTTAATTCAAATTTGTATAATCGATATTGACATCGAATTATTCAAACTGTTAATCGAAACAGCTAGTCAAATAACTATATGTGTAGGTGGCAAGTAATGCCCAACTACGTACATGCGCATACAAGCTCAACAATGATAAAAGTACAAGAAATATGTGAGGTGCTACAGCCTTCATTTTATTGATCGCATTTTCTAGTTTAATCAGATTCTGATCAAATACCTAAGATGGAAGAATAACAAACAATATGTATGAATTGCTGATTCCTCATGATTTCAAGAAATAATGATGAACAGACTGAAAACCAAAAAAGTGTTCTCTTATCCCCGTCCATGAATCTCGAATAAAAAATAAAGGACAGGGAGAATTTCAAGAGAGTTTGAGTTGAAATAGTAAGATCAAAAAAAACTCATCTGACTTACTGACATATATTCAGCTGGTATGTCAACTCCTTGACATTTTTCGGTCCAACGGCATCGTGATTTATCGCAAAATTTAGTTCCATTTGTATAAAATGAATAACTGTCGTCTTCACAGTACCTTGGTTATTAAGCAAACATTATGTGTTATTACAGGTATTTTAATACTCAGAGAAATCGGTCAACTGATACAGTTTACAACTTGGCCTAATTATGTATATGTACAGTTTACTCATTTTTTTTACCTACTTTCTTCACAACTGAATCACAGTAATAATGATTGATTCGATCAATTAAGTGTTAAGAAGATCTTAGCATGCCGACGGATTCTTCTAGGTTATTTCTATTTTCGTCTGTGACAAATAATAGATCCTACAAGAACAGCACTCTACAACTCTGGTTTCCATGTTGGGAGAATGTTTGTTACGGATTAGATGCTACCGCAGCAGCCTCAGGTTCCATTAGCTTCTAACCTTACTGTTTGGATATTGCAATCAATAAAAAAAGTTCTGCATCCTGTGAGGAGTTCCTCTATATTATTATTACCAAATTATCGGCATTAATAGCGGAAATGGATAATGTTTTCGTGTTTAAAGCGAAGCGTACTGAGTTCAAGTCTCAAAGTGAATATCAATAATCAGATGCAGGTCTGCTATGATAAACGAGTTCCAAATAGAACGAAATCAGTATCTACAATCCACTTTTAGACGCCATCTATCTCTGCTTATGATGATCTTTATTAAGTGTTTGTACTCAAGCTTTTTCGGCATCCTACATTGAGATGTTTATTCCTATAATGCTACTATTTTTCAAACTTACCAACAACCACACAACTGTTATCCAAATGTTGATTATTACTTTTAGATGTGACACTATCAAACACTGTCAATAGTAAAGATTGAAGCATTTATAGATTCAACGAAGAACGGAAAAACAGTCTTTAAACACACATAAAGCATGATATAGAGATAAAATCTAAAAGTTAAATGTTGTATAATATTACAAAAGTTTAAACAAAAATGAAATTGAATAACAAAATACGCGATTTGTTAGTCAAGTAAGAGTACCACTGATATCACGCAAATAACCAAATAGTCTGGGCGCAGACTGACCTTACCACTGCCTAGGCTAAATAATTTCATTGGCTGCGTTTGCACACTAGACCGACGGTACCGGGTTCGATGCTTTCAAGGGGAAATTAGGGATGCGCAACCATGATGATTTCCTTACTCGAACGAAACTGCAATCCAGTGCATCAAGTTTTCTAACGGCGGTTTAACAATGATCGATTCATATATTTAGTGAAACAAAACAATGTTCAGAATGCTCAAATGAATTTGAAATGGTGGAGAAAATTTGTAGCTCAGGTGGTGTAGTTACGATTTCTGAGCAGGATGATGTGGTTGTGGAGCTTTCATTGTTATTCTGGACAACATAATCAGCACAAACGTCAGTCGGTTGTTGTTTCTCTTCAATCGAGCAAGTAGTACCACTGTTTGTATTATTTCAAGTTCAGTTTCTTCATGTCTTTCGAGCACAGATAAATTCATGTTTCAAAGCATCACTCTTTTTCAGTGGAGGGATTCTTTTAAGACCATAAGATTTTGTATCGACAGGATGACAAACCATTGCTTGCATTTTCCTTTCATTATTGGCTTTGAAATCTTCAGGGTTTTATATATGCGAATGATTTTTCTTCATCTTCTCTGTGTCATCTGTTTGATATCTTGAACTCCGTTGTCAGTACAGTTAAATGTTCAGATTTCAGTATTCACATCAGTGTTCTTCATAGTTCGAACAGGTTCTATAGATATTTGGGTATAGTTTAGTGTGTAGTGCCTCCACATATATTCCAGTACTCTTACATCTAACTTGGTTAAGCCCTTTCGATTAATTTATTTAACCAAGCCATTTGTAAAACAATTGTAGTGCCTCCACATATATTTCAGTTCTCTCACATCTAACTTGGTTAAGCCCTTTCGATTAATTTATTTAACCAAGCCATTTGTAAAACAATAACTTATATGCACCATTGGCTTTTATTATTGTGTGGTTTGTATGCGCTGGTATGATTGAACATTGTTTACACTTGCGCGCATATTCATACTTTTCGCTTTAATGTTAATCTCGTAATATTCCCATGAACTCACATGATTTGTATCGCTTGCTTTTGACCTTGTCAATCATTCGTCGCTTTTATTCATGTGTGTGCATACCTATTTCGCTTGTCATATGTCTGTCTTATTTTTATCTGACTATATATTCTTAGTCATGTTCTATCTCTTTGAGTTGGCTCAACAGCCTTCTCCTATTCGCTTCACTCATTCGCTCGCATTGTAATCCAAAGAGTTGGCTCTTAGCCTTCTCCAATTCGCTTCTCTGCTATCCTTATTGTGGTGTGCTACAATAAACGTATACGATACTTGGAGTTCATCTTCTGATTTATTAACCGTCAGACGTCATTTGGATAAGACAATCTGAACGAGCTTATTACGAAACGTACGAACACGCAGTAAATCGGCACACTACAAGTGCACTTCGCTGATCACTAGGTATACCGATTGTCTTCCATCTTGCTCCATCAATCATTTTCCAATTGTACAGTGGACATTTGATGGCATAATATGAACTTTCTTCCATCATATCAATTTATGCGTAAAACTATGAACATACGTTTAATTGCAACAATGTTGAAATGCCGGTTATGGGAGCACAAAGAACAGCCATTAGAAAAAGGATCATCCTACCTTATACAAAAGACATATCTAAAATTACAGAACGATTACTGAAACCATTCGGAATGAGTGCAACACAAAAACCGAAATAATCACTTCAATCAATCACAAGTGAACAAATGGACAAAATCACAAGAATAAAGACAAAATATCATCTACAAATTAAACTGATCTGACTGTAGAAAACACTACATATGATGAAGTGGACGTCCACCTAAACATCAATTACCAGTCAAACGCTGTGACATTTCTTACCTTACATCACCAATACATACGGACAACTATGAACATACGGTCAATTGGAAAAATGTCGACATACTAGATAGAGGGAGTACAAAGCACACCAGATGACTCTTAGAAGCTTGGCACTCAGTTCAATCAACAATCTACAAACACGTCCACACTGACCCAATTAATCCACAAATCAGAAAAATCATTGGCAAACATAGGATCAATATACAGTTCGAAGAGGGATAAAGAAAAATAAAGGTTCAGACAATGACAGATTTAAGGTCAGCCTAGATCGAGGTTAAAGGAACAAGCTACGGATCAAACGTGGAGACATTTATGTACTTCACTTTTATCTGAAGTTTGTGCTGATGATGCTGTTCAGAAAAACAATGAAGGCTCCACACTTAAAACACATACAGCTCAGAAAATGAAATTTCACCACGAGCTTCACCATTCTCTAATGAAAACCTAAAAATAATTTATACATTTCACTGTAGAGTATTTTCATTCGTCTTTATCACTTAATATATACTTTTGAAATTTGAATTTTTATTATGCCTTATAAGTGTCCCAGAGAATTTAGGTTGATCTGAATAACAATAAAAGCATTTTCCACACACACACTGGTAGCTAAATAAATGCGTTTAATTTATTACAGTTACTAACCTTTGCACATAGAATTTTTCCAATGAAGTCAGTCGAACTCTCAGAGAATTTTCCCAATATTTAGTGGCCGGGATAATAATCTTTTTCTAAATATTAAAAAAAAATAGATCATTTTCAAGAAGTGGATATCAATCAAGAATTCACTGTCAAAAGCTACTTCTCTCTCTAAAACAACTTTGAATCAATGAAGTGTTAGTATGCTTTAAAACAGTTACAATTAAATATTTCTTTGAAATTACTAAGTTGAAGGGAAAAAATATATTAATGGCTTTATTCAGTAATATATGTTCAATATAGTAAGAAGTTCTCAGCATGGAATAATTCCAATGGTTTTCATTGCAAAATAATTATTAACTGTCAGTTTGAAGTTAGCAGTACGAGAAGCAACATCTTATGAACACTTATCCCCAATCAATGCGATGCATAAAATTGTACTTGTCTGCACCTTAAGAAGAAATAGGTGGAAAAACATTCAATTACCTGCTCCTGAATATACTATCGAATAATTAAACATAATTAACTTGGTAACACAAACACAAAGAGTTACCTTGTTTAAGTATTTTGAGGCTAGGTAAGGAGTAGCCTCAATATTTAATCTTTGGAACTAATTTTATTAGCTTGGTCTGCTAACCTCGATCTTGATTGGTTGCTATTGACCTTTGACCTGTCGTTGTTTGCAAGCTACAGGTCAAACGTGGAGAAATTCGAATGCTTCACTTCTATCTGAAGTTCGTGCTGATGATGTTGTTCAGAAGAACAATGAAAGCTCCACAACCGAAGCAACCCGCTCCGAGAAGGAAACACTACCACAAGTTTTCTCCACCATCTCAAAACTATATGTACATACATGTCTGGATCGCAGCTTGTTTCAAGCTCGTTCCAGTTGACCTTTCCCAACAAATTCACTATTGATCTGAGCAAACCGCCTACGCAACCTATTGTGCACCTTCCCTATTTGTACTGTCCTATTGAAAGTGTGGCTGTCTCATAATGTTTCTATCAGTAATATGATGTAAATGAGCCATCGGAAACTGACTCTTATACATAATTTAATTACGATAACTTTTGCAGTAAATGTCAAAGCATTTGTGAAAATTTGATCTGAACTGAAATGCCTCTTGTGACGTACTGCTATTTGAGAATAAATATTATTATTATTATTAAATGTTCGATGATCAATTTTTGTCAAAATATTCTTCAACTACTGATCTATATTCCTCTACAGTGTAGTTCAAAATCATAAAATCAAAAGTCCCCAAACTGAGTTCATAACATGTGAACATACAGAATATTAACTACAATTTCGGTTTCATAATAATTGCTAGTATTATTTAAAAATTTTATCTCATTGATTTGTCAAGCTTCATATCATAACAATACTGTTACTGTCAATTAATGTAGTCACTAAGTTAGAATGATGTCGATAAAAAATAATTCACATTGTAAATGAGTATAAAATGCATACATTTATGACAACGAATCTACAAGCAGCGTGATATCCTATTTACTGACCAGTAAGTACAGACGATAACCTTTGAGCAACCAATACACAACCACGATAAAAAAAAAGCTGCTACTCCGTGTTTGACGATTTTGAAAGAATACTAACTAGTTTTCAATGCAAACACCACTAGTTCAAGATTCAATATCATAATCAATACTGTGTTTTAAGCACTCTTTCATACACATACAAAAGCAGACTGTGTTACATCATTGCATGGAAATTATCAATTATATATGAATAAGTTAAAAGTGGCAACCAGTAACTGAGACTTTAAACAATAAACTGATAAAAAAGATATTTTTTTATATTTTATAGGTTCCTGAAAAGTTTATGATTAAAAATATAGATGAATCTGATAATCTAGTTACTTATCATTTATATCATAAGACAGTTTACATTTTATAATCAATAAAATACTTGTCTTAGTTATTACTCCTTTACTTTTCGTTCCAATATGACGATCAGATACATTTCAGTAGTATAATAAAATTTATTTTATATGATACATTTTAATGGAAAAAAATTTCGATCACTCATGTAAATCGAAAAAATTTTATCTCATTTATTTCATACTTACCTTAATTTCTTCGCTGTCAGCTAGTTGATTAAATGAATCGGTGTAATATAAAATAAATTTCAGTCTCAATAACTTGAAGCTTAATTGACGATTATGTATTGATTTTGACTGTTCCACTGTTGCATATCTCTTTAAGTTTTATAGTTATTAAGAAAAAGTGTGATTATATATTACCAAATTATAATTTGATGGAGCCCCGCAATTACCGATCGCGACCTTTGTAAGATGAAATAGGATAAAATAAAAGATAGATATAATCATTTGCATAATTTCAGTGCAGTATCATTCGATGAATGTTAATGCGCTTATATAAGCACAGTGCATCAATAGTTGTTTTTCTGTTGGTGAATAATAAGTTGTTTACCATTAAGAGTTAATGTTTCATGAAGTTATAAACAAAAAGTAATAGTGTTACTCCTTAATTATTTAACCTATGAATGATTCACATGTCAAAAAAGCCACTAACTTTTGCTCGGTTGATTGTGTGAAATCAAATGATGGCTGTTACACCCTCTGTTAGGCGGCTTATGCTGCATTAGGTCTAAAGGGCGTGAGTAAGTGTGTAAGTACACCCAGTAAAATGTTTTTCAATAAACAACTTTTGAAAGATAAAAATTTTGTCTGATGAACGAATATTTTCATTTCATGTAATTTTATGGTGAAAAGTAATAAAGCTACTTTTTGTCTACAAAATAATGAAGGTTTAAATCAAACTATTAATTACAACTCAATTATTATTCGGTTACAGAAATCAGGGAATAATAATCCTAGTTACTTTTACACACAACTGTATATTGATCCTATGTTTGCCGATGATTTTTCTGATTGATGGATTAATTGGGTCGATGTGGACGTTTTTGTAGATTGCTTCTAAGAGTCATCAAATGTGCTCTGTACTCTTTCAATCCAGTATTTCAATATTGTTCCGGTTGACCGTATGTCCATAGTTGTCCGTATGTATTGATGATGTAAGGTAAGAAATGTCATGGCGTTTGACTGGTTTATGTGGACGACGCTGTTGAGGACGTCGACTTTGTCATATGTGGTGTAGTCTTTCGATTTTTCCATGATATTTTGTTTTTTCTGTCTTGTCATTTTGTCCATTTGTTCACTTGTGATTGATTGAAGTGATTATTTCCGTTTTTATGATGCGCTCATTCCGTATGGTTTCAGTAATCGTGCTGTAGTTTCCGATATGTCTTTTGTATACGGTAGGATAACCTGTTTGTTGTTTATGTACTTGATTTTGCGGAGCGAAGAGATATGTACGGGATTCATTTTTTAAATAAAACATAGATTTCAGGGTATCACATCATCTAAATCAAATAAATTATCTATGAACATTTTCCAAATAAGACTGCGCATTAGAGCATCAGGAAAAATAAAGACATTGGAATAATGCATGGTTTACAACAGAAATTGAGGAATTATTCACTACATTTATGCACATAAATGGAGTTGGATATTTACTTCCTTCGATGCCTGCCCAAACATCAAAACTTTATTCGTATGGGTGCGAGACGGTGTGACCTGATACCTCCGACTCTTGAGATCGGGATTCATTAATGCGCACTGCTGATGAGTCATATAATGAGATGAAACGGCTGTCCAATGCTTCAAAGTAGGAAATGTTGATCCAAAATTGAACGAATCATGATTCCAACACAGGCTACTTAATGGTTCCCAATACCATCAACAATAGCTCTAAATGAATGTCTTTACTCAATTCAATATGACGAAATGAATATGAATAAGCTAATACAACAACAAAAATGTCATTTCATTATGATTTTTAATGAAATCATACACAGGCACGGCGAAATGTATGTGCATGGTAGAAAATTATTTCTTCTTCAAACTCAATCAAGTATTCTTTCCTACAATTTTGACCTAGTATAGTAGTAGCGGTCATTCTTTGATTTACGTGCTTGTGGTTAACTGCTTCAGTGTGGGCTAGCATGGTTAACCGTTGTTTGGGTATTCATGCAGTGTGGTAATTTCTTCAATGTATGGAAGTTGTTGTTAATCTCAGCTTGGTTACTACTATGCAACATTTTCTTAAAACTGTATGGTGAATAGTTTTGCTAGACAGTATGTTATAGCTCGGTAAGATCAATACAGGAAAGGAAATCAACACACACCTCTCTTTGTATTATAATATGTATAACTCATCGTAATAAGAAAATGTACTACAGCCGATTAGTTTGGAACTAGTATCATTATGGCTAATAGTGTTCTGCATCGCACTGGAAAAGATTGTTATTCAATATTCAATAGTTTAGTATGCTTCAAATAACCCGCAACCATATGCCATGCTTTGTGTTCGAGGAATACTCTGGTTCAACTAACTAATGTGTTGAGGCGTAGCATAATCAACTGACGGTTCATGACGAAAATGGCTCAGATTGCCGATTACACTGTTTATTTGTTTATTTACTTTACTTGAAAATAAAACTTCGAAAATAAAATATGGATGGAGATTTTGTTTTTCTGTAAAAATGAAAATTTATTAAATATAAATTGTTGAAGTCAATGAAATCGGTAATGGAAATAATTTTTGAAAATACTTGAATTAAAAAACATAAAACACACCTATTTTTCTGTGTGAATAGTTTTGATTGCCTTCAAAACTGTCAAAAAAAACATGATGAGAATAAACAAACGAACCGGTTGTAAAAACTAGACCGGTAAAATTTTATTGGTCTTCGAACTTGATTCAACGGTATATAACATAAGCGGTTCATCGAAATGCTTTGTAGACATGCTGACTAATTTGTACATCCTATGGCTTTTCTTCATAAGATGCAATCATGTGAACACTGCATCATTCTGTGGCTCTCCACCTTCAGTGAAATTAGTAGACAGATTATAGATATCTTTTAAAATTTCAGGAACATGCGTTAGCTGTTCATCCTAATATTGTTGAGAGACAGAATAAAGTACCGAAACGCCTAAAGTTTTACACACATTTTACTCAAAACTTTTACAAATTGCAATATCATCGAAAGCTTTTAGTAAGTCAGATTATCTTAGACAAGCTTCTTCAAAGTTCGGCGTTTTTTGTGTTACTACTTCCTATTAGTGGTTAGATCGCAACAATGTTGAGTTCTGATTAGGCTGTTTTTTATTGGACAAATGAATACTGCGGGGGTATTGTACTCTGGTAATTTTTTAATTATTATTCATGCTTTTAGTTAGGAAAACATGATTATTTTTCATTTATTACTTCATTCATTTGAAGAACTCTTTTTATTTTACATTCTTACAGACACTTTTAAGAGAGGCGATAACATTTTGGGAAGAAACATTGACAGTCAGAAGGCCTGGAAAACAACTGGCTAAAAGGTCATTGCATAATTAACTTTATATTGTTTGATGTACAGTGAATAACATTTTTGTTATATAACGTTTTTAATAAGTGAAGTAGATTTTGTTTGAGTAGTGTATTTTCTACACATATTAATCTCACCATATTCAGATATCTTATCAAGAAATCCAAATAGTTCATTATTAGAGATACATGTTAAGTACATGATTTACTTGGATTTCTAAATAAATAATGTTCTAAATTTTTTTTCTATCAAGATATTGCGATAACGGATACTACTACACAGCTACTGGAAATAATTCCGTATTTTGTCGTAGCTCAAGATGCCAACGCGATGTAATGTGTGGACGTGCGAAAATACCAGATAAATATGTGGCGGTGAGTATGAATACACTGACGTGATATTTTTTATGATCATAAATTAAATTGATATTTTTACTTTTAAGAATTTTAGTCAATAATAATCTAACTTTTTATCTTTTGTGTTCAGTTCGACAACTCTCATTACTATTATTATTATTATTATTATTATTATTATCTTCCAGGAATGTTATGAAGAATACCATAACCGATTAAACAAACATTACAGTAATGGAAGTGGAATACCATCTGATGGTTATGTCTTATTAGTCGACGCTGTGAATGCGAAATCGTGTTATAGTGGTGCAGCAGCATCTGCATTATCTTGTCTGATGGATCAGGAAACCGATAGGTAATTTCATAGACCTGTTGGTAGATACTCTTTTTTTAAATTTAAAAAAACTAACTGCATAACATATCTGAATATTTTTGTCACATATCAGAAAAGTACTGATTCGAGTTGCCAACCTTTTTTCATCTTTCAACTTTGATCATCGAAATTTAAATATTGCTTGTCAGGGTTTTTCGTCGAAATGCCTTGATTTCGTTCTCACTCTGCATAGATAGATGCGTTTATATTTACTGTTACTGAATCAAAATTTTTACGATGCTATTTTGAAATACATGTAAGTTCAAATTAGATGTATATCATATTTACAGTTCGGTTTCAAGCAATAGTTCTCAATTTCTACAAAAAAATGAATCCCCAATGATAATTTGACCTAAATGAACAATGGCAAATAAATGTAATTCAACTCTCTTGTGTTTGAAAGTTCAATCAGTCAACAATACTTAACTCGTAAAGGTTTTTCGCATTGCAGATACTTCAAATGAATATAGACTATGAATAGAATTCGTTGCTTAAACCCTGAAATTTGTTTACGAATGATTTATTTCAGTTCAGACAAATCATCTACACTGAAACTGACAAATTCCAATGAAAGGTGTTTTAATTTGTTCTTCCATTGACACCAAAATATTCACTCATTAGATTTTATAAGATATAGTGTTACAAAATGTACAACTGAACTATTTCTTATGTCGATTGAACTGAATTTTATTTAGCGAATTATTAAATTATTCACCTTTATTCATGAGTAGTTTATCAAAAAAACGAACAAAACATCCGAAATGCGAAGCATTCCGATATGATGGTAGGTGATCCTGTGCAAACTGTGTTGATTCCAAATGAAATCACTGAAAACAAGTTCCTAAACTATATAACACTAAACATGTAGTGAAATTCCAGATGCGTTCGAATTAAAAACTGAGACAATAATGTAATCGATTAATTGACACATTGAAGGAAACTAAATCGTTATTTATTCAAATAATGCGTACATACATATTAATTTGTGAGATTTTTGTTGTTATTTCAGGCCAATTCTTGGATATGTAAACGTGTGTCCAGGTAAATTGAAGGTTGAATATCCGGAAGACAGAAATTCACGCGGAATATTTATTCATGAAATCGGTCATGCACTTGTAAGTTTATGCATTTTTTCGAAGACATTAAAGCTCAGTAAGATGATTTAATTAAGGTGGCCGATGAAAATACTAGTGTTTCGATGAATGTTTACAAACTGTTGGTATTTTAAATATGAGCAGGTATATGCAGACGTACATAAATCATTATAGTTATCTATAGTCGCTCAAAACATTTATTTAAATCTATTATTCTCTAGGGATTCTCATCGTCCAATTTTCCATTTATGCGCTTTCCGGACGGGAAACCTCGGACTCCCAGAGATGCGGAAAAGAAGCCGATATATAGGGACGTATATGGTTCCTATATTCCAAGGTAAGAATTTCGGACTATTCGATATCCAGTAAATAGTAAAAAGAGTTACTATTAACACAGAAATAGATCACTTATTGTCATCGACAAATGCTAATTGTCAATTTACTTTGCAAACTGCTATGTTCCACATATAATGCTATAACATTGGCTTTGTTGAACTGGTTGGTAAACTAAGTTTTTGTAGATTTCATTGTATACCTTTTTTCTATGACTGATGTTTAATTATTTTCTAAAATCATGTTTATAATTTAAAAACTCACTTTTAACTAATTGTGATAGATGACATATCACATCAACAATAAATTTAGTCCATTCCACACAAATATATATATAAAATCAATAATCTTAATTGCTTTTAGTGCTTCCGTTATCCATGTATAACTCATTGATTCATTGTAGCAGCTGATGAGAAATCATAAAATGTCATGAATTCATATCATTCTGACTCAATTGTTGTTCTGACCTTATTTAAATTTTATTCATTTCATGCGAAAAATGTAATGTATTTGCGCTATATATTTAGAACAATCTGATCACACATATTAACTTGTCAAGGCATTTTATATGAAGTTTAATAAAAGGTCAATTAAATAAAAGTTCAAATAGATAATTGTAAATAAAGGAGAGAAAATTAACGTAATTTGAAAAGAATAAGAAAGGGTAGGAAAATTGTTACATTACCCTAGGCTTAAAGATTACTAAGGTAAATTCAAGGTTACAACAAACTGTTTCCTCACACATAAAGGGGGTTTTAATTTTTGAATAGCCAAGGCCTCCGTAAACCTCAAAATTCGTCCTCCAACATTTCTATACAATGATTTGAAGGCTGTCTTGATGTCAATCTTATGCCCTGTCTCAATTATGTGTTTTGCGATCGATTAACATGGTTTTCCATTTCCCTTGCTAATCGGCTGAACTGACATTAACGGATTTTGAAGCCACTTAGGTACATATTCCATAATCCTCGATTACTCCTCCCTATGTATATGTATCCACACAAACATGTGTATTGAAAAATTCAATGGGATGTTCGCTTGTTAGCCCAAATACATCAGATTTTTCAGATCAATTAAGTCTTCTCACAGTTCTATCGAAATTTATAAAAGGGACTAATTGTTTTAAATGGTTATAATTGTAGATGTATAGTTTAGAATATAAATTTACTAGAATGACTCTCCTAACCTATTGCATTATATAAAGCAATATTACTAGGCTATCTAAGCAAATAGTATTTTTTAAATGCATTTTGAAAATCTTATGAACTTATTTTCAACAGTAAATATAACATCTTTCCCTTAGCAACGATACTGTCAGGAAAATTACAAGACGATGGCAAAGTGCAGCTGGAAGGTTTACAAAAGACTTTTATGGTTTTGTTACTCCCAAAGTTCTGGTTAGTTGATCTTTTTGTACAGTTCACAGAATTTCTTAGTATCGTAAGGAAAAAAATCCGTTGAATATTTCTACAAAACTTCATGTAACATTTTACGGTTTATCAAATAGTTATGAAACAGGTGTTTGATAAATCAGTCCTTTATGACCTGTATGCTGTCTATTCCTCCTAATTGTGTTAACATTTAAAAAAATTTAAAATCAGTTGAAAAATCTTCAGAACTCGAACGGTTTTCATAAATTACATCTTAGCAGTATTCATTCACGATGCAGTGCAGGACAGAACTTACTGCTTTTAGTTGTCCCTGTGAGAACAATATATTCTGACTAGTGAAATAGGGCTTGGCTAGTGATGATTATGTATCTCAGTTGGCGATGAAAATTTGAAGGCTAATATGTTGAACTGTACTAAGTCATCAGTTCACACAGGAAATCTTTGAATCTAGTTCGGACGAAAAAGAACTTATATAAACTATCTCAATATATATTCTCTTTCTAAATGAAAATTCCTCAACTAAGCGCTGTTTTTCGACTCATAAGGGGAGCACCAAATTAGGAAATAAAACTAGTGTTTTGTATTCCTTGGCTTCTTTTCAGTTTAACACGACTAAGTATAAGTTAGTGAAGTTTAAATGAAATCAAGTTTTATAAGCCGTACGAGATACCAAATAACTTATCAACATTTTGAGAATATATATTTTTTATTTTATTTTAATGTATAAACTGTTTTGTGAGGATGATAAGTCTTCATGAAATTTTCAACTTCCAAAGAATTCCTACTCAAATTGATCCAAGTCCCAACTTCTTACATTCATCTGTGAAATTATCACCATAAAATTCATACTCAGCTTTGTCCAACGTTTATAGTTGTATTAAGTAGGTGTCGATACTTGATACTAGTAATTTAAAAATTCATAGATTATCAGTGAAAAAAATGAAGTGTTTTATGTGCAGCAAGATTTTAGTATACGAAGTAAAAGTCTAACTCTACTACACTGAATTGTCGTTTGAAAGTCGTTTCAAGTTCTACGTTCTTTATCTGTAAAAACAAACAACAATCTGTACTATTTAGGCTGCTGCAAGGAACCATTTCAAATGTCCAACTTTAGATGGAGCTGACTTAGAAAATCTAAACCAACATATACAAATAGGATCTCATTGGGAAGGAAGAACATATGGGGTGAGTCAAACCAAGTTCTAATGTGAATTATTTGCTGCCTTAAAAGTCGTAACTGAAGAAAACCACAAGAAAAATAAAACTGTCGTTCATTTCACTTACATTGAAATGATCTGTTTTTATCATCACGTCGAATCTAATTGCATCGAATTGAGAATACTAGTGAAATGAATATGTCATTTCTTGACTAAAATCTATTGTTGTTTGATTTGATTGTAAATCAACATTTAAAACGACTTGATCAAAGTTCGAATCACAGTGGTAATTCAATAGGCAGGTTTATATAATTCGACACTTGGAAGAAGGTAAACCCATGTAACTGAAAAGAATTATTTTCTTTGATCCAAAATTAAACTATCTCATTTTTATTATCAAGAATTTCATTTATTTACAAATTTACACATATTTATGAATTATAATGAATATTTTCATGGCTGAAATCACGAGCTTACTTAGGTTGAACTACCGTCAGGAGCCTGTAGGATTGGAAGGCTGTTTTGTCAAAGTATGGGATTCCTCGGCAGTAAGCATTAACGACCGTGCACGTAGAAATCGAACACATCACTTATCGTGTACACGAACGCTTGACATATATACCACTGAGCCGGCATTAAGAAGTGGTAATGTCTACCTTCAATTAATTCATTATTAAGTGTCCCATAGTTCGATGAAACGGCCTGCTTCATGGACTCTCATGGTGGTCTTACTGAGATCAGTTCATTATTTCAGCTTTATAATTATTCAACCTCCACAAATCACCTTTAATAAGAGGGATTGAATTATATATGAAAGGCGTTTGTAGACTAAAACTTAATTATACAATCGAATATTACATTGAATTGACACGATGCACAACATCATACAGAATCGTTGCAAGCAAGAACGTTACACTAGATCAGGTCACTTCATCTCACACTTTGAACTCTCTTTATACTTGCCCTTTATAACTGGATGGTTTCGTATAGGTTTTGGGAATAAGCTAACTTATTGATGTGATAGATTGAAGTCAGGAATATTTAATTAAGGTAAACAAGGAGCAGAATTTGAAAACGTGAATCATAGTTAATACCTATGATTCTGTCAGAAAATAAATTTTATCTGCAAGTGACAGTCGTTAAAAAGTTTTTAAAAATCAAACGACAACAACTTCTGAGTGCGCGTCCAATGCGACTGGGCTATATCATACATGATGTGGTTATCACATTCAACCAGATCAACTATTATCATGTATTTCATTGGTTAATAACTCCGAGATAAATCATCAAAGATCTGGTTACAGGTGATGGGTGCGATCTATATAATTGTGCAAACTACTATATTAAAACTCCCGTTTCTCATAAATCTAAGGGTTCTAAACTGAAATGAATTAGCTGCCTATCGATCATTGATTGAGAAAATCTATGACTCAAACGAAGTAAAAAGTAATTGACAAACTTTCAACATTTCCGGTAGCTTATGTAGCTAAATAGCAGTTGCATCACTGTTCACGCACAACATCATCCGCTATTGTAATTTCAGAGTGAAATAATGGCTGGAAGAGTAGAAGTAGACTATGCTGTATCCCGAGTTACTCTGAGTTTCTTCGAAGATTCTGGGTAAGCAAATTTAAAACATGCAATCTTTATTACAGAATCTAAAAAATGTAACATCAACCGCCATTCAGTATCTCTCAGCATAAAAGTGCTTCCTCTAAATATTTTAAAACCTCAGTTATATAAGCCATAGTTTCTGTTACTTTGACGGACCTAGGTTTCTACAAGTTCTCGATATTTGTAGTAGCACTATCAAAGCAGTATTTGAAAATATATTGTTAAACACGTTTGAAACTATTCGAATTCATCAATGAAGATGTAAAAAGTTGTTTATTCTATGTCCAACACTTTCATGCATTAGGTATCCAATCGATGGCATGAATTCATAATAAGAACCGAACTACTCTTGTGCAAAGTCGTGCGTCGAATTTACGCATGAGTTCAAAGACTTGGAGTATTAACTTGCATGATCTATGTTATGTATGATCCATAATGATTGATACTGTTGACTTATTACACTTTGGCATTTAGGAAACTAAATCTATCATGAAATATTTGGACATAATTCTGAAGCAAATAACAACATTGGCTCAAAGATATTAAACACCTTACTGCTGTCACAACCCTCTACAGTTAGCAGTACGACTTCGCCCTCAGAACATGAGTTGCTCAATTTAGTCTTACGATTCTCCAATCACCTTGCCTAGTATGGTAGGACTTAACATATGTTCCAACCAATATAGCTCATATGTATTCAATACTCAATTTTTAAAACATATTTATTTCCATTATTATTTATTATTCGTAATTTTAATTCCCATATACTGTTAATGTTTATTTTCAAGTTGGTACAATGTTAATTACAAGAAAGTGATGAAGTGGGAATATGGTAGACAGTTAGGATGTGAATTTGTCATGAGAAGTTGCTTCGAGTATGCTGAAACTCGAAGGAGATTGTAAGTTATTTGTTGTGACAATTAGAAGTTTATTATTTGATTCTTTGTTCAGTAAATACAATTCAAATATATGCAACAATGTGAAAGTTAATGAATTCTAAATTATTTTGTGTGAATAATAATGTTAATATATCAGAATTTTGTCAATTTATGAAAAGAATTATATTTTTGAATATATCAACTAGTTAAAGCAAAATTTTATGGATAAAATATCAAAAATGAAACTTATTGTCTGTTTAATATTGAGTAACGACCTGAAGTGCATTACTGTTTGTAATTAAAGGTATACTGAATTTTTGAATAAATCTGCCTGTGAACATGAGCAAATTATCATGCTTCTAACTGAATTTCAACTGATTATTCTGTTTTTTAAGAGGTAAAAGATTTATTCCATTCTGTAATAAAATTCGAGAAGCAACATGTCGCGATGCATTCTCCTACGGAGCATGTAGTATTCGAAAATATTTAATTGAAGTTCCAAAAGAGGATCGGTTCTTCAAAGTCGCTCCATTTGCTACTAAATATGATGCCAAATATTTTGGAGGAGTCGATTCGTTTAAAGATTATTGTCCAACACTAGGTGTAAGTGTACTACTCTATATTCTTGTAAATATTTTATCTCACAATTTTTTTGTAACACAACTAAAATACTGTTTATTAGCTTCCAGGTTTAACAGTTTTCCATATTATCGTTGACGATAGTCGAAAATCACGTAAATATGTTCACTTAGATTGGTTTTCATGTATCACCATAGGTTATTATCTTTAGAGATATATATGCATTATTGAGTAGTTGCAGAATGTTTCTGTTTTATGCTGAAGTAAACTTTGACACAAAGTTTTTCTCACTATTATTGTGAAACATACAGATGTCATGCAAATATATTTATCATCATTTCACCTAGATTTCTAGTAGTTTAAGTCAATGTGTTATAGATTTGCTTCAAAAGTTAGGCTGATAATTGAACTCATACAACGTTAACCGTTTCCATTCTTTTGAATCCACCTCAGAATTGAGTAAGTTTTAATTATTTTCCACGTGGCAATTCAGTCTCTTTTCCTCATCGGTTTAATTTATCATTTCGTTCATTAATAATGTCGATACAAATATGTTAAACAAAGAATAACAGTACTTTGGAACAGTAGCTCATGTGCTCACAAATGACAAGTTATGTAATCAAATGATCAGATTTCCTAAACGAAGTTATAATCGGTAGATTTTAACTGGGTTGGATGTGAGGTAACTGCCCACTGAAGAAAAATCAATGAGATCTCAAAATATTGTGGACTGCTTGATGTTTGATGTGGATCTAGATGTAAAAGAATTACAATGATGTGTTGTAAATAGGTACAAGTAAATACTGTATTAACTAATCGGCATGAGTTATACTCACTGATTTAACATTTGAAGCAATATGATTGCGAGCTAAAAAAAATTGATACAGATTTATGACAAAATTGCTATGAATATTCATTTCTATTATTATTAAGTTGTATAGGATTAAATTTAATTTTTTTATAGAACTGAATATGATGAAAATAGACAAATGTCTAGTAAATATCAATTGCAGTTTCAATGTCCAGCAATAGTTGCTTTCCTGAACCTTAGGGAGGTATTTGACTCAATCGGTTGTGAAGTCCTATGACAGTATCTGTCACTGAAAGGATTGCCAAAGAAGTACAGTAAGCGTATACAGACTCGTTGCTCTAACACTACTGGTGGTGTAAAAAGTCATTGAGAATTGTCATCAGAATTGATTACCTCGAGTGGTGTTTGTCAGGCCTATTCACTTTCTCCATTCATGATCAACTTTGTTATTGACATGCTTTTAGAGACGACACTTGCATCATCTGACAGTTTATGTGTTGAACTATTCATTTTTTGACTTGGAAAATACCGATGACATAGTTCTGGTTAATTAGTTACTAGTATTCGATCATAGGTGTCTTTGAAGCATTCCTTATATATCCTCGGACCATGGAGTAAGTAGTGCTGGTGTAAGGAAAAGATTACTAAGTAAGGGTGACAAATCAATCGATAAAGTATTGAAACTTCGCCAGTCGAGGTGGTTGGGACATATGTGGGGTATGCTGAACCACCGACTACCTCGACGAGCTGTTTTGTGATGTAGGGCTGGGCTAGAAGAAAACTTAAGGCGACTAACCCAAAACATAGCACATCAGGATTGAGCCATGTTAGTAGGTATGGACTACTACCTGGTTGGGGTTCATTAGAAAATTGAAACCGTGGCTTAGAGATATGTCTCAAGATCGTTTGCCATGACGTAACAGCATCCGCTGTCTGCGTTCTTGTTAATTATAATCTTCCGAACTTTGCATGATTTTTCTTCACTTTTTTTAAGTCTACTTCACTAAGTTATGCTTCCCGAATCTTCAATTTGATCCATAAACTTCTCCATCACTCCTAATACTTCCACTATCGCTACTAATATGGGATTTGAATAGACCGTTCGACCTCTCTGTGATAATGTGGTGTAGTGACGTGAAATTATGTAAGTACGTACAATGGTCTACGTTGTAGTTGACTGACTGAGAATTTCAAAGATGGTAAAGATAATTTATGTAAGGTATATTGCAAAAAAATACTTGGAAATTCGGTTTTTATAGTTTAATATTCTGACAGAAAATATTATGCGAAAAACAAAATTATCTTGTTTGAATCAATCCTACTTTTTTCATAATTTTATATTTGTAGTATGTTAAAGGTTTGAGTGTCGATTATAAAGCAACATCATTTTGTACACATGAAGAAAATGTTAAACTGTCACGTAAGCACATCTTACTTCTTTTGCTTAATGCGCATTGAGTAATTTATCAAGTTAATTATTTGAATTATTTCACGAAGAGTTTTATTAAAACGTCGTTCGTTTAATGATTAAATTGTTTGATTTGAATTGGTTTATATCTCTCTCTTTCTGTCTCTCTGAGAAAACCGGTCAGTGAATTAAGCAGTTAACAACTAAAATTTCTGTTATTACTTTTCAACTTAATCTTGGAAGACATCGTGATGTCGAGACACCTATTCAGACACTTTTTCTTACAGAGCTTTTCATTTTAGATTCGAAGATGACTGTATTAATATACGAGTTGCTCTGTTGAATAATAAATATACTGGCCAATAAACACATGTTATCAGATATTTACTAAATGGTAATAAATAATCTTTCATATTTCTTTAGAGAAATTCTATGATTGTTGATCCTGTGTAGTACATACTACCAATAATTAGTTCTTCACGATTTTTATGATAAACATTGAAGTATTGTATAAATCTCGTGAAAATCCAAGTGTTTATTCAAGAAACTTTCAGTCAGAATATTGCATGTAATTTAAAAGTGATACGTACTTAGATTTTTCACTCATTTGTCACCGAGTAAAGCCTTTATTGTTCTTCTGAACAAAATCATTAGTACAAACATCAGGTAGAAGTAAAGGATTCCGAATTCTCCACAGAAACAAAAAAAAATAAAAAACGCTCGGCATTTTTATTCCAGAAATACCCTTTTATTGTTAACGTAATGTATACTCCTGGTGTAACTAAGATTTTGACTTTTGACTTATGCATAGGTTGTGCCAAACATTCACTTAGACGTTGAATAGTATATCAATGAAATACGCGACTGTGTTTATCTCTGTATTCATTCATAAGGGCTTTTTGATGATTAACTATAGTTCTTTATTTAAATAATGATACTGCATCGATAATGTCGGTCCAGTACTCGAATATTTAGGTTTTATTCGATCAAAAATAAATGAATCTTGTTTGCCGTGAGTATATTCCCTGCTTTCGTCTGTGAACCACACTATGGCACAGCTTGTTCAATGAACCTAAATCAGGTAGACTGGTTTTATGACCTATAAGCTGAATAAATTACATTAAACAGTTTTCCGATTTATTTCTGCTTTACTCAGAAAAATGGATTAACTACTAGTGATATAAAGGTTTGTAAAGAAGTAGTTGGCCTCCATTAAAATCACATTATTGTTGCGGAAAGATGGGCAAGTTATTTGAATGTTATCAGGTCATTTTCTTCAGCATCGTGTCATAGAGCGTTTTATCTGATAATATATTAACAATAATGATCGATTTGTTTAGTTCATATAAATCATTATGTGAATAGATGGAAACTAATTATTTGATCATTTGAAATTGATTTTACACATCAGGTCAAGGCGTTAACCGATATTATCAGACTTATGGAGATACATCGATTTGTATTCAACATCGAAATGTTTGGAATTATTATAACCACAGTCATTTATATCCATTAGGCGAATATTTGAAAGGAAGTTGTCACAAAGTGAGATTTTATAGTCATTCTATGTTACACATTGTCTTGATAATTAAGTTTTAATTTTTAGAAATTAAATTCTCTAAAACGTATTCTCAAAGACCATATATTGTGAACATCAAACCTGACAAAGGTTCTGAAGTAGTTGTAATGAATAAATGTGACCATACAGTGAAAATGTTATCCAACCTTAGTGATGAAAGAATGTTTTCAACGAATATTTCATCTAATAATTGAAATCGAGAGTTAACTACACTCTAAACAAACTCCATGAAATGAATGTCATTAACATGGAGGAATTCAATATGCTAAAATACACTGATTATCAAAAATTCATGAACCTAATAATCCATGAAGACCAGTATTATCTATGTACGGTTGACCTACACATGAACGCGTGAAATGGTTAGCTAAATTACTCATCCCAGTGAGTAATAAATTGAAAGATACATTTGAACTAACTGATGTTGTTGATGACATTAATATTAAGGAAAGATCATGCATTCTTTTGATGTAAACCCTCTTTGTACCAGTGTACTTCTGATCTAAAATGTTAACTTTCATTGTGAGTATATATGAAGTGATTTCCCTATTTTTCTCAATCAGTAAACGCTGTTCAGAAAAATAATTTTCTATGTATTGAAAAAGTTAATTTCATGTTTGAGGGTGAACATTTTCAACGAGTTATTGGCGTTGCTATGGGTAGTCTTTAGGGATCTCGCTTAGTTGAAATATATACATCGATATACATCGAAAATTTGTTGAGTGAGCCCATCAACAAGGCTACACTTTACGAAAGATTTATAGATTATACATCGGTTATATGTGATAACATTTTCAATGTCTTTCGGTTACTGAATAATTTCAATAATCTTCAGAATCACAATGTCCTGACCAGTGAGGCAAAAATTAATGATTAATTGCCGTTTTTAGACATGCCGTGGAGTCGAAGGTAAGATGGAACTATAAAACCGTCAGTTTATAGGAAGCCGACCTGAATTGAACAATACTTAAGTTTCGGAAGTTTGTGTCCATTACAACACAAGCGAGGCTTGATAAAATTCCTCTTCAAAAGGACACGAAGTATTTGCACTACTGATATATTTGAAGATGATGCGAAATTAGGTTAACGTCAGAAAACCACGTGCATTGTTAGCAGAACACAGTTGAACCATGAAGGTAGATTGACATTAGAATGGTCTTTCAAACATTGTATAGAAACGTCCAAGGACGAATTCTGAAGTTTATGGAAGCCTTGGCTGTTTGGTAATTCAACCCCCCCTCCCTGTTTGTACAGAAAAAGTTTGTTAAAAGATTGAATTTACCGTGGTATTCTTTAAGCCATTTTATGGCCTAGAGTTTAAAACAATTAGTCCCATTAATAAATTTTGATAGAACAGTGAGGAAAATGTGATATATTTGCGCCAAACATTTTGAAATTAATCAGGTCACGCACATACTTGTCAAGGGATTTTATGTGAAGGTCAATTAAATACAAGTTAATTTTCTCTCCCCTTTATGAACGAATTTCAAGGTTTACGGGAACCTTGTTATGTGTACAGAAACGCTTTGTTATAATTTTGAATTTACCCTGGTAATCTTCAAGTCATTTTATGGCGTAGGGTGATGTGACAATTTCCTACCTCTTTCCTATTCTTTCTATAATTTTCTCTCCCCTTCATTTAAAATTATCGACAAATGTTTATATGAACTTTTATCTAATTGACCTTTTACTAATCTTCATATGAAATGCCTTGATAAGTGTATATGTGTCACCAGATAGCGCAAATACATCACACTTTCAGATCAACTACGTCTTCTGTATATTCTCTCTGAAAGTTCATTTTGTGCATGAAAATTTATATGACAATAAAAAGTTATTATTAATTCGTAATGTACGCTACACTTGTTTATTTTCAACGTAGTATATTCAGTCCAAACCCTAAATGTATCTTACATATATCCCCATGTAATATGTCTTCATATGTATTTATTTATAGTATGATACTAATTGTGTAATTATTATATATTTCAGTATAAATGTTATTCAGATGGAAAACTTGGTTTATATTTTAAAAGTTCAACTGTGAATTGTACAAGAAAAGACGAACCGGTCAAATTCAATGTGTCCGATATAACAACAAGACTCAGTGGTGAAATTTTATGTCCTAATATCAGAAGATTTTGCAAGGTACATATTTATATGGGCAATAGTGAAAAATGTTTTATTGAAATTGTATTAAAATTACTAATAATTCGATTTCAAATAGAAAGAAATACTAAATTTTTTTAGACTCTGAAACATGGAGGATATACAGAGACTTTTATTAGATCCTTAACTATTTTATGAAACTTTTATCAATTATACTTCACTAGACTAAATGCAAATAATTTTTTATATGATTCCGCACATTTTAACAAGCGAAAATCAATTAAGCTGTTACCATTTGACTGAATATTTACTCAATATATTTCAGTGTATTATAGTGGATGAACCTCATAAACCTGAAAGCGCCGAACGACTGCTTCGTCCTGGTATGGGACTCATCAGCTGTGTACATCCACGATCTCCAATACTAGCTACTTGTATTTGTTTTCAGCTCAGTTATTTTGTAGACATTGATTTTGAACAAAATGATTTTGTTCAGTATAAAATAGTTGGATTCATGAGATATTTTATTTACATTCTCTTTTCCAACGAATCGATTTCTTTTATTACCTATAAATTATAATTGCCTATTCAGAAATATTAATCAATAAATGTCTTGTTATTTTCCAGGTAAACACTTGATTCTTCCATGCTAAGAATCGACAACATTGTGATACTTGAAAACAAATAATGCTCAATTTGACATTCTGTATTATAAGGAAATAACAATATTAATAATAATTCATTATTCAATTGATTTCATTGTTGAATTTTCTATTTCAATCCAATAGTCATGTTAACTTAGTGGAACAGTTGAAGTAATTTCATGTTTAATTGGAGATTAATTCAATAGCGATGTGTTGGCAGTCAATAAGTTTTGTTAGTGTTTAATTTTCAAATTAATTACTACACAAGTATTCTCCAACATACTCCGTTGTCCAATCTACTTTCCAACTATGCCAGTTACTACTTATTCTTCTCATGTCTGTCTCCGATTTTCGACACAGTTTGGTCCTTGGCCTGCCACTTGCTCTTCAGTCATAAGTATCCTAATTAGGGACAAGCCTTGTGATGGAGTTTTGGTGATTTCTACAGTGCATGTCCTATCAGCCACCAGCGCTTTTTCTTCATTTCTTCATCAGCCGCAATCTGGTTTGTTCTCTGTTACAGTAGAGTGTTGTTGGTGTTTTCTGATCAACGAATCTGCCGTATATCGCATAGGCAACTGTTATTAGTCATTAGCATCATGTGGATGACCGCTTTAGTACTTCGATAAGTTTCTGCTCCATACAATAGGCACCATTTGACATGTGCATTGAAAATCCTGACTTCAGTGCTAGCATATAACACTGACCCCTAATAAAACGTGAAGTCAGTTTTACGAGCCCGAATTTCTAATGATAGAATAAAGATTCCATGTGATCTTCACAACGAGAAATCTTGCTAACTACGGGTATCGATATTATTTAAAATTTCGTGAACTCAGTTTTTGTCAGAAATAACAAAAATAATTACTTGTAAATGTAATATTACACATCAATGATCAGTTACATGTACGATAGAGTTGGTCAAATTCATATAATGGTAAGACATACAGAAAAGTTAACTACTCAGTCAAGGTTGAACTCGGTCTAGAGTTTTTATAGAGCAGTATTATTTGTCTTAATCATGACATGTCTCCTATTATAATGTCGGAAGTAAGAAGTCGAAACGATACAAATGTTTTCAGTAAACTGGTAATTAGCCTTTTATCTCGCCAAAAGTATAATAGTCGCACCTGGAAATACATGACAAAGCACAACTAACTGAACACCGATTCAAAATGGAGCAGATAAATAAATTATTACTGCACAACAAAATAAACAAACAGTTTTGCTCTTGGAAATCGTTAACTATTGACAACAACATTGAAACAGATATCTCAGAAAGTTGTGCTGATTAAACTGTCAGCTATTTTTAGAAAAGAGGTGGCATACTCAAAGTAACATGTAGTGTTTATTCATCATTTTACTGTATCCTTAGTTCATTGAAATAGACCTACGATGGCGCTGATCTTACTGACCAGAAAAAATTCATAAAAAAATACCATGAAAGATCTATGAGTTGTACTGATCGTCACAATCATAACCTTTATTCCAATTATATTGCTTCCCGTTCTCACTGATTAAGTCATTTCAAACTGAACTTCATTATTTATGGTATTTAAAACTTGGTTTATCATAATATTACTAACATAAATGAAAATCATTTGCAGCGTGTTCCATAGGAGATCAAGTGACTAACTTGTACTGTTTATCATCAAACCTCCATTAACTCTAATCAGCATATTAATCACTTTTTTCAATTTTCATCAAATATTTTCAAGCTAAATCTCATGAACTAAAAAGCTGTCATTCATTTTCATCACGTAACTCATCGAATTTTCGACGAACATACTATTGTACATGCAAATAATTTATATTTATCGATAAAGTGAACTAGCTGTGAATGAAATTCACAAAATAAATTGTCTGATATTTATGCCCTAAAACAATGAACGATGTAGTTGGTAAGTTTTAATTTCATAAAAAACCACTGACATATTTCATATTGTGTTTTACCACTAAGTGATCACAGACATTTTACCAAAGCTGCATCTTTTAATCTTACAACCATGATAGTCAAGATTTATCATGCATCATAGGAATCTCACAAATTAATTCCGATTTTAAAAATGGTATTTATAGTAGTTTCAAGTACAGTAGTTATTCAGTATTCGAAATGAAATCATCAAAAATAACCACTCGTAGTAATTAACATTTATTTGTAATTACGAAGTTAATTAATATTCATTGTAAATTGGGATCAAAAATTAAATAAATTTAATTAAATGTTCATAATTATTGTTTTGTGTTGAGATCAATTAAAGTTTCATAATCATTATTCAATTGATCTGCGCCTATTCTGTCAAAAGAAATAAGTAGGAAAAGAAAAACAATAATTATTTTATCATATTTTCAATTAGAGTTATGGAGATCAGTGTTTTTACACATATGAAATGATCAATCAGTTAATCATTATTAGACCACCATTAGAAACCTGGAAGCACTGGATGACCTTTTCATCCTGGTATTGGAGTCATTAGCAGTACGCATCCACGACTCTTGCATCCCGCACGATTTGAACCCGGGATCTTGTGTATTGTACGAGAATGCCTCATCTCTGGACCAGTGGACTGGCATCCAACGATGTTAATGTTATTTTATCAATCAACAAATGATTTTTCAACTCTCAGTGATCAAACAGTGAAATAGTTTGGATTATTAACATTGAAATAAAATGTTTTTATGAAATTATTTTGAATAATTTTTGTTTTAATTAATAATATCTAAGTTTGAATTAATACATTAACTGTAGAATCAAAGCTTTCGTCATTCGCTAATGTATATCAATCTTAAATACTAAATATGTTACACGTATGTAAAACAAAATTGTAGTAATGAATGCATTTCGATTTGACCGAACGTTTAATTGAATTACACCAGCTCATAGCTCAAGTTTTGAAAAGATCTATGTGTCTACAACAATGAACAAATTCACAATTGAAACAGATCATACATGAACTCAAATTTTTCTATCTTGATTTGATAATAATTGGTAATTATTAGCTATTACACTCTTCATCATTATTACTGTTTATCTTGTTAAAACACACAAGAAAACGTAGTTTTCAAGGGTTTTTGTTTTCTTGATATTTTAAATTCTTATGATAAAACAAGGCCATATATTAGGGGTAGGATTATTTTCAAAATATAATTCATATTCTTACTCTGCAAACCATGTTAGCATCAGGGCAGATTATTTCTCCTTCAATTTGCTTAGTTTTAATTTTGGCTACTCCTGAATTACACGGGAATGCTTGGCCATTAATAATTACTTGAACACCACCAGAACATGAATACTAAATGTGAATGGAAAAAGATCAAACAGTAAAAGAGAGTTAACTAAACATTACATATATTATTTTAATAAAGTAGTTTTAATGCACAAACATCCATTATTATTCACATAAATGAATTCAAACTGTAAGGCATGAAAATGTGGTTGGTTAAACAGTTAACTGATTTGTTCTGTTGAAATAACATTTGTTTATTGAATGTATCTGTGAAACATTTTGGCGAACAATACTATCTGAATACTGGTAATAATATACAGCATTATTAAAGTGAGAGTAAATTATTGTTTGAAAATTTAAATTCCTTAAATAAGCTTTAGTATTTTGGATTATTAACTGCTGTGTTTCATTTTTTTTAATCACTTTGTAAAATTATCAGTAAATATATTTTATTAACTCTGAGCGGAAATAAATCAATTATTCGGGTTTCAAACAGGTTTATGGTAACCTCATTATATATATATCCGAATATTTAGTTACTTTTAAGAACAATTTTTAATTCTCTCCAAGATTACCTGATGGCAAGTTGCTTTCACTCGAGGATCCTGTGATGCTCTCCCATTCATTTCAGCTCTCCATGCTCCTTTATGAACAATACACATTGAATTATTTCCAAAATCTTGAGCAAACATATTTCCTCTTTGAGCTGTGAAAACAGAAATCACAAAATTCACTTTTCTTAATAAAATGTATGCATGATGTTTTTGATTGTTTAGGACTTGACCTGAAGCCCTTCTGAAGCACTATCGGTCCCAAACAGGACAAAGGAGGAGGGTTCGATGTGAGATTGGCAACCACATCCCGTAGAAATCCAAATAGCTAAAACAACGCTAACCTGAATGAATAATTTTCTGTTTGCCGACCTACGCTTCATTAAAAGTTGGTGGATTCATTAGTTAAATATTCTTTAGATTTGTGCGTTTTCTATTCATTCAAATTTATTGTCTTTGTATAACTTTTAATTAGCAGAATCAGTTCCATTCACATTCATGTCCATATATGAATAGATCTACTTTGATTATTGATAAAGATTGCTCACAATTCACAAAATTATTTTATATTCTATTCTATCATTGAAGCGGTATCGATTGCTTTCATTCAAAAAACCAATTTCATTAGATATCTGAGGAAACAATCGAAATTTCTCTGTATCTCATATCAGTTCAGTGTAAATATGTTTTTGGATGTTAAGGAAAATGTTATTAAAATTGATGTTTCAGTTGAATACTGTTTATCGATAAATATACTCTGGATTAAAATACTATTGATATCTCTACTTCAATCGATGTGATTAATCTTCAATTATTGATTCTCAGTATAAATATAAAAATGACTATGAATAATCTTTCTTTGATTCTTCTCCTGTTATTTCTCACTTACGTGAACTTGTATTATTGATTTTTCACGATTTACATTTTAATACAGATCAAGTTTTAAGTTATTTAATTTAAACCAAGCACTTACCAACAGGAATGTTTAATTGATGATCACAATATGTCATAAGTGGTTCATTGAAGAATTTCCCCATAGGCTATATTTAAGGGATAAAAGGAAATATTTGAAAAGAAGACTGATTTTCGACTATAGATGGGCAAGTTAAAACTACTTCAGTGGGTGGTTTCCACAAAGTTTATTACAATCCAGTCGAATATATTCTTAAGTAATCAATGAACACAGAAATCTGATGTAACTATAAGATGTTGCTTCGAAATGGTTTTGTGAAGCATTGTTTTCCTCATTGAAAATATTCTTCATCCAGCAGTTATATCTTAGTGTTCTTTGCGGAGATGTGCAAATGGTACTTCATCAGAAATCAAAAACATGACGTTTGCAATTTCAGAAGAGCATTTCAACATTAGAATTACTGGTTGAGATTTTATTGGTGAAATTCAACCTTCACTGTTCAGTTCTGAAGAGTTTCATAATGTGAGAAAACACATGCTTTGTACTCGTGAATGGTTACTAATAGGCCTAATGAGATTTTTCCGTCTCCTTAACAGCTTATTAACCTTCTTCCGCTTGATAATTGCAAATGCCCACAAGTAACATAATAATTTGGAATTCATTTTGTTATTGAGATCATGAACAGACTGAAGTAGACAGCTGTGGAAAACTACGAAGCGTTGGCCACTTATTGTGTCTTAGTAGAGGGTAGTGACATATGAAAGTTATTCTCAAAATAATAAACTTATATAAACTAACTCTGATACTTTCTTGTATTAAATGTAGGTCAAAATATGAACTTGAAAAATTAACTACTTTCTTGACATTTTAATGGATATCTTATATTAATTGACTTAGTTAAACAAAATGCTTACATTTCAGAAGGAAAATCAATCACATACTAACCTGAATCATAGGACACCTATCTGTTAATGTACTCATCCCTCCTTCAGCAGGATTTTTGAAATACTGTTCTTCTGGTGGTAAGCGCTGAGCGAATTGTACAATAGCACAAATCCCAAAAGCTTTCTGATGGTAGCATTTTAAAGAATCCTTCTCATCACAGTACGGTTCTGTACTTTTTCCTCTAAAATACATAACAAACTGTTAGCGACTTATTCAAAACACAAGTGAATATTAATTGCAACTAGGTGACTATCTCAATAATAATAATAATAATAATAATAATAATAATGATAACACTATTTTCAATAAAAGACAAAAAGGATTAATATATTGAAATAAAATATCAATCTCACGCTTGTTTCATTCGCATCAAGTATGCATAACAACTTTCCATGACAAAGCTACAACCTAAATTCTTTCCATAATACCATGGTTCAGCCAATGAATAATCAACATCCCACCAACTAAATGAAATTATAATAATAAAACAAAAAATTATCGACTACTGGATTATGTTGAAATAAATACATGAGTAATCAAATGAATACATTGAAAAGAACTGATAATTACACTCTTGATTTGTTACAGCCTATATATTTGATTAAAAAACATATCAATGTATTCATGGAGAAGTTGAGCATCTATCTACCATCCAACGGAATAATACATTGGTTGCAATATAGCAATTATATTACAGTCAGCGAGTTCAATCCAGTTCAGTGATGAAATTATGAACAAGAATAATTGTTGTGTGGCTTTTAATCCCTGTTTTGACTAGTATACTACGAAGCCATGGCGATTTTGAAATGAACACAATTTATTCGAGTATTACATAGTGTTTTAAATGAAGCCTTAGTAGTCAGTGGAATAATCTCTGGATACATGCTATTTTTAAAATATTTAATCCAATAAGATAACAGGTATCCAAATGAAATACTCAACATCATACATGAAGCAGAAGAAATACAATGTGACATAGTATAGTTGAATTGATTGAACTTACCCAGAGTCTGTGAAAAATGCCAATGTAAGCCTTGAAAGTACAGTTTTCACTCCTGTAACACCAGCCATTGTTTCATCCTGAAATACATGGAAATATAATACAAGTATAAAATTGACTCATCAACTGACTGTTTAACCTAATTTATTTTTGCCTCAAATATTTAAATGAGATAGTATCACTGTAGTTTATATTTCTAAGTATTTCTACACTGAATAATCCTTGAAAGATGGCAAACACCGTCTCAAAACCAAATTATTCATCTAAATCAGTCCATTCTGTCATATTTTGAAGAAACATGAAATTAATCTGCACTTGAGCAGGAATGTGATGTAACCTATTAGTAGTACACAGAGTTATTCATTTACATTTCACCATTCCTTCATCACTATCTATGCCCGTTTCTTTAAAATTTAACAATATATTTAGCTTACCTCAATTCTTACAACTAGATTAAGTTACTTACTATGCGAAAATATATTCATGGATTTTATGTATGGATAATTTCTTGGCTTCTATATAAAACTGTACATATTTGAGGAAGCTGCATATCTATTACACGTATTATCGTCAATTATCAGGTTTCTCGATTGATCAAATTATAACTGTTCAAGTAGACAGCATCATATAAGAAAACAAATCGATTTATTTATTTTAACAAACACTTTACTACGTTAAGTAAACGGTAATTAACAATACAACTTACACCAACCACTCTCTTTTCAAAGTGTGAACCAACTGTTCCTGCTCCACCTTCATTTTCTATGTCAACTCCATCCAAATTAGGACAGTTGAAGTGTTTGCGTGCTTCTTCCTATGTAAAAATGTATGAATTCATTTCTTTATTCATGACATTAAATGAAATTTGAAAAACTGGTAGATCTGTGAGTTAATTGATGTTTCCATGAAGTAATCGTTTTTTTATAACTGCGTTGTATAACTAAAATAATTCTCAGTATAAGCAATGTTACAAATGAACCATTCGCAGTTTCAACAATGTGATACACACTGAAAACCAACGACTCTCTCGTTCATCCTTATTGATGCATTTAACATAAAGTAATTCGACAGTATGGAGATCTGTAGATCCGCTGTTAGGTCTACTCTGATAACAGTGAAACTTGTATTCTAAACAGATCTTCGCCTACTGAGTATTCAGTATAATATTAATTGAAATACGCCCAAGTATATCCGTCGATTGTTAAGCATCACGAACAAATCAAGTTTCTAATGTTGAATAGTTGAGAAACTGAACTAAACCGTAAACACAAGAAAAGATTACATTCCAATTTAACTCACAAGTATGGCTGGTGTAACAAACGATAAGAACGGTTTGGAAAATTGTCCAGCAGCTGTAACCCATGGACGGTTAATAATTCTGACTGTATTTTCACTGAAAAAGAATGAAAATGTACAGAGAAACATCTTCATTCAAGAAAACAAAATGTTCTTTGAAAAATAACTGATTACAGTATGATGATATTTAGAGTAGATTAGCTTATTTTACAAAAGTCAGTATATATGGTAAGAGTGAACTGTTTACTAATCAACCAATGAAGTCAAAATTATATTTGTTCTCTTTCGTCAGCTCATTAAAAACATTCATTATTTCAACGTTTGAAAATATATGGAACTCCAAACGACTTTCAACCAAGACCAAAAACCAGGATTTTCAATACAAATGTCAAGAGAGTTCTACTGTATGGAGCGGAAACTCGGAGAAATACCAAAGCCATCATCCAGAAAATACAAGTATTTATGAACAGCTGTCTACGCAGAATACTTCGTATTCATTGGCCAGACACTACCAGGAACAACGTACTGTGAGAGAGAACAAAACAGATTCCAGTGGAGAAGGAAATCAGGAAGAAGCGGTGGAAGTGGATAAGACACACACTGCGTAAAGCACCCAACTGCATCACAAGAGGAGCCCTCTCAAGGAACCCTCAAGGTCAAAGGAAAAGAGGAAGGCCAAGGAACACATTACACCGAGAAATAGAGAAAGGCATGAGAAGAATGAACAAAAACGCGAAAAAAATAGAAAGGGAAGCCTAAGACAGAGTTGGTTGTAGGCAACTGGTGTGCGGCCTCTGCTCCATTGTGGGTAACAGGCGTAAGTAAGTAAGTTGCTCATTAGTTGTTTATGAATTTAATGCACATACAACATGGATGAAAATCTACTTAATCTTGATACAGCATCGTTTAGAGAAAATATATGGAACATTTTCAAAATCACAATTTATACCTTAAAATATAAATGAAATCATCGTCATAAATTTAACTCACCTTGGCTGATATTGTCCTTTATTCATTGGTGGTCTGCCTGATGTAGGATCTCTTGGTGTTCTTGGTTTACCATTGAGATCACGCATGAATGCGTAATTTCCTTGTCCAAATCCCTGTAATGTTTATGATTATTAGTATTATTATTATTATTATATTTTTGTCAAATATCAGTGAATTTACATTAAGTTTAAAAGTGAAACATTTTTTTGGAAAAAATAACCTTATATTTATAAATCACTGATAATCTTCCAAATTATAGAATTTTATCATCCATTGAATGTATTAAGAGATTATTCAAATTCACTGGAGATATGAACAAGAAAATCTCTCACTCGTGAACACAGAACTCCATCTGCAGAGTAGTCTGTATCGATTCTAATGTTTTCTCTTCATTGGATATTCATCTTATGATGAACTGTTGATTCGACTCAAAGTACAACAAGTTGTTCTTGATTACTCAATGAACACATATTTGTCAATAAAGAGTAAACACTTACCAGAGCATGTCCCAATTCATGAATAGCTGTACCAATCAACATTGTTTTCCCAGGCTCTTGGATATCCATTTTTTGTGGACAGAAATTAATCGATCCCATTATTGGTCTAAAATTCAGACGTCAGAAAATATACAAATACATGTGAAAGTAATGTGTTGTATTGATAAAAAAATTGTAGTTTTACCTTGTATATTGTGTATTTGAGTATTTTATGATATATAATATTTTATGGCAGTCTGAAAGAAAACAAACTCACCACAATTAAGTGAGAATTTGAAACAACTTTCCGCATAAAGTGAACATGGTTGTGAGGAATGCTTAACTAATTCTAGAGCTCTCGATATACTAACTATAAATTATTATTATTATTATTATTATTATTGGTAGAAAATATTGAATTAACAATCAGTGGTACGCGGATATTTCAGCAAATTGACCACAAGTTATATCAGTGAATACTTGTTTTGAATGAGTTATCAAACTTTTCATTCAAATAATAAGTTGTACCTCATACTGGGTCGAAGTGGCCGTCCAGTGCATTCAGATTGATAATGGTCATCTAACAATGATCGATGCATAATTTCAATGCAACTCAACAACCCGCAACTTAAAAATGAAAATAAGTGACATCGTAATTTCTCATACCTTGACTGTAATTCATGTGTAAAAATTTATCAAACAACAATTTTACCATAATAATTCTGTCAATCAGTCAGTCAGCGACAACTTAAAACTTGGTACACATGTATATCAGTTCAAGTTACCATACCACATTGACACACAGAGATGAAATGCTCATATAAAATCCTACAGTAGTAGAGGTGGTAGAAGTATTAGAGGTAATCAACAAGATTGCAGTTCGTAGAAATTATTCACAAATGTATAATTCAGTGAGATAAATTAAGGAAGAGAATAAGGACTGTCATGAAGAATTTAGAAGATTAGAATTTGAGCGAAGGTAAGTAATGCATGCATCTGCGTCATTGCAAACGATTTTGAGCCATGTCATTCAAAGTCTATAACCATCGTTTTAGACTGTCTCATTGAACACAACTAAGTGATCTCAGTCCACTTGCCAGTGACTTCATTAATATGTGCTGTTTTGGCCACTCGTGCCTATCTTCTAGCCTACTTCTACATCAGAGAACATCGCTCGTCGAGGTAGTCAGTGGTTAGGCATGCGTAACACATGTCCAAATCACCTCAACTAATGAATCAACTATGAATCAACTTCACATGATTACTTAGAATCCTTTTCTTAACACCAGAATCGGTTTCACGATATGTGAATGAATTTGAATAAATAATGTGTATTGTTTTTATTTATTTCAAACCTTAGCATTCAATCTTTGCAAACACAGTATTTAGTTTTTGACTATCAGACGAATTGAGAAACTCAATATACTTGACAAATGCTTCATTTCTGATCAACTCGGGAATATTTTCGAAAATTTAAGATTTGGTCTGTAGTCAAATAAGTTGATCAATGAGATCGCTGAATGAAGACAACAACTTGATTATGTATTTATCTCTTAACTTATAAAGGATATCAACTTCAGTTAGAAAATCTTATTTCTAATATTGATTAGTGTTTTTATTTTAGTTGTTATTAAATCGACTATTGAAGGACAATTTAGAATCTGATATACTTCCCACTAACATGACATAAGTAGTTTTCACAATAAATGGTTCCACAAATATTCTACCTCTATATAAAGAAGACAACTTATTCAAAACACTGAGAAGTAAAGCATACACTTGCCTACCTATCAGTCGTGGGATGCATTTCACAAGGACCAGCATAAGCTAATGTTGAACCGGATGTACAACTTTTCTTGTTCTCACTTTCTACAAACAGCACATATTCATTTGGTGCGAATCCTGGACCATCTTTGTAAACATCTCGTATGTCGTTACCACCAGTTCCTACAGCACATCCCTGTTATTTAAAACAAAGAGGAAAATATGTATAAATCAAATGTGAAACTAAATTTTGTATGGATTATAACTCAACCGAATGTATCAACGTTTATTTGTCACCTTTGAAGTGATTGTAAAACCAACAATAAAGCAGAACAATAGTACTAACTAGAAAATACTTATATTCTACTGATGTTTAGGTAATACTTCATTGAATCGTTTTAAATGTAAAAGTAGGGTATGTACTTACGACTTGTTTCTATAATCGTGTAAAACGTCTTACCATATGCAACAATTTGAAATATACAATCAAAATTGTTTGTGAAGTAAACTCACTGTAGCATAATCATCTGGAACTGGATGTTCATAGCACAGAGCTTGTCGTTTACATTCTGATTGACAGAATTTTTTACCTGTTTTACCATCTGTATAGTAGACTGGTTGTGTACACCCTCTGAAAAAAATGAAAATCATTGAATGTTTTGTAAAATCAGTAGTATAATAATTGAAAATCAATAGTCAAACTGAGCAAATGTTTGTATTTAGTATTTTTCTTTATAAAAAAAAAAAAACTAAAAGGTCAACAGTAATTTTGCATAAATTGTTAAACCCACATTCTATAATGCGACTATATGTTTGACGATCGATGAAAGCCTTATCAAAAACATCTTCCTGTATACAAGAATACTGATTACAATATTACACAATCAGATAGAAAATAAACTTAAAAGGAGCAAATTCATGCTTAGTCGTTCCAATTGAATAAACAGTACATTGCTGTGGCTATGTACAATGAATTGGATGATTTCTTAGTATCAACTGTAACAATGTCAATCATAAATTCAGTCTAAGGATAATGAGATTTCAGATTATTTTGTTCTTTATGTTCATATAATTTCCATTCATGATTGAAACATGAGTTTGCGTGTTGTATGCAATGATACAGAGGGTTCAATGTGTTTTACGACAATTCACAAGAAATTTTAAACTATTGAATATAATCAGTTACATCACTACAAAAATTATATTTTATACTCTAAATCAAGTTGTCTCATGTTGTTTATGTCAAAATTAGGGACTGGCAATACAGTGTTATTAATACTACTTCTATTTACAATGAATGGGATAAGTAAGATTAGTTTTCTTCTAATGAAAAATAAACATTCATATGCAAACTTGACATTTCGCATGGAATATTATGAATTGCACTTACTTTTCTGATGAAACCATTCAATTTTCTAGAAATCTTAACAATAAGTTTTTGAATGATAATATCAATAAAATATGCTTTCAATTATCTCCTTAGTTCTACTATTCCAGAAATTCATTTCAATTCTATCATTTCATTTAAATGAATGTGATCTCATTGAAATCATGAAGTGATCAATGTTAGATCACCTATAGAAACCTGGAGTCACTGGAAGGGCGTTTCGTTCCACTACTGGACTCAGTGGTAACATTCATCCATGGCCATTCCTGCAACAAGGAATAGAACCCACCATATTCACACTCATGTTCGAACATCTAACCCCTTTATCATTGGGCTGGTATCCAACGGTGTTAATGATACTGACAATCCTTATCCATTGTCTTCAGTAGATGATTGCCTCACATCCGATAGAGTAGAATTACATTGGTCATGAATCATCATTAGAAATCCGACAATTTCTTCACGAAGCTAAGTCACCAGTGATCATCTGGTTCTACATAATGATTCGATCTAACTTTCACAATTATATTCTACTAATTTTAACTTAAAATTTAAATAAACTGATCTTAACACATAAATTTGAAAAAAATCTGCATAAATTTGATTTTAAGAACTGATCATCAACATGAGCACAAAATGTTAATCACAGTTATGCTTACCTATTAATTAGCAATTTCCTATTTGGTGGTTTTCTGACACTTAATGTTTTTTCCCAAAAACTAATCGCCTTTTCAACTACATGGGGCTAAACAAATACACAATATTATTCAAGGTAATGAAAAAAGTTATTGTACCAATAAAATCTTCGGATTCTATCAATGCAACTTGTACAAAATTATGTTTTTGTAATGAAAATCAATACGATGTCTAGTAAGTTCTGTATTATTCGGAAACTAATACGTGGTAGTGAAATTTTATGTATAATTTGTTAAATAAAATTTCTTTTGAAATGGTTGTTTCGTTTCCAATTTTCGCTACACTTGGAAAACAGTATTTATTGATTTTTGTCTTGTGTACAATGAAAAATGATTACATTCAATCATTCATTCGTTATAACGTTCCGTCCTGGTATGGGACTCGTCAGCAGTGCGCATCCACGACTCCTACTACTGGCAGCATTAGAACACCGGACCTTTGGTTTGGTGCACTAATCAGTTAACTGATAATTATTAACATTTTCTTAATAATTCGCTCATTGTCAAATTGCTTGATAAACTGAAAAATTAATATGGCCAAGTGTCAAGTATCAATGGAAGTTAAGGCAAAATAATTACTCATAAGTAGTATATATGTAATAGTTACAAAATATTATAAAAATCATTTAATCTCACCTTGAATTGACCGAATAAAGGATGTCTTTGAATACTTTCTCTGTATATAACAATAAATTTCAATTTATTGCCTCCATATTGACGTTTATCAATTGGTTGACCTAATACACCAAAATTCTAAAAGCATACAATCACATCAGCTTCAATAGAATGGTACTCACCATGGTAATATTTGGCATAGTCTGACAAATATATTCAGTTCTGGTAAAAACCAGTAAACTGATAAAACATAGAAATAACAAGATAACTCTTGAACAATCTATCATTCTCACTGGATACTCTTAACTAATTAGAGTACTGCTGGGTAAGTATTATGATTTTCTCATTTCAACACTTCATTTATATACTCAATCTCAGTACAATTCATGCTTATCGAAAAATGAATTATCTTGTTTTTAACATATATCTTTGTTTATATTCGAAAATCTTATTAAATTAGCAAATAAGTTTAGTACTTTTATGAAATGAAAGTTCATTTTAGTATAATTTTTTTTTTTGGAAAATAATAGAAATTTATGAGGTCAATAGGCTAGATTTTGGATTCATTTGAAATTTCCGATTATGATTCTAGCTAAAAGACAACAATATCTGTGGATCAGTGATGTTTAAATTATTGACGATAGAAGTACTTTAAAATATTGGTTATACTGAATAATTATCTCAACATAATTATTAATCAGTCTTTAGTTTTACTTGATAATAGAAACAAAACGAACGATTCAAAAGTAAAAAAGATACACTCAAGTGAAATTTCTTTAAAAATTAATAAATTGAAAACGATCATCAAAATGTAAAATCATCATCGCCTCATGCAGCAGAACTATCTTGACACTTCTATTTCAAATTCTGATTTTGGTGTTTGTTTTATAGTTGTTATAAGTGCCAGATATTTTTCACTTCTTGTAATGAAGCCCTTGCTTTGCCAATCCGCGCATTCAGGCACGCCGTAGTATCGAAGAAGCATCCACAGGGATGTTTTATCCACACTTTCAAATGATCCATTCTGTTGATTAATCCACAATGATTCGTAGTGTTGTAATTCAGTCAATACACGATCTATCCTTTTGGAACACCGTTTGTTGATCTCGAAGTTGGGCCTTCACGGAGTCCCTCATTCTGTTGAATAATATACTTTTGAAAACGTCGCCTGGTATTGAGAGAAGTGTGATGTCGGTTGAGTTGAGGTATCCTTCTTTTCAGTCTGATGATACTTGCTTGTCATCCCAAATCTTTTTGAAAAGAATTTGTTGAATTTTTGTAGTTTCTGCCACGTCTGCTTTCATTGTCTCTGCTGAAACGTTTACTGATCCCACTGAAATACAACGGATCTGTCTGATCTGTCTGATGGCTATACTGATATCGTTAACAGTTGATAGGCCTACATTGATTAGGAGGTTCACGGAAGTTGCGTCCATGTTAGGTGGGTTCAGTGGAGTAGGTTAATTCAAGGGTTCTTCAAAATGCTCTACCCACCCATTTCACTCTTCTTCAATGTTGGTGATTACTTTTCCATCTTTGCCTTTCAGTAGCCGATCTGGTTTACGATAGTTTTCAGCGAGTTATTGTGTTGCACCATTCAATTTTCTCAAATTTCCGTCACTGCTAGATCATCCACATATTTGCGTTTGTCAGCTCTGACGCTGTTCTTCACCTACTTGTTTACGTCTGTACATTCAGCATCCCTTTTCAATTGCCTCCATCCGTAATTTCCTTTCTATTATGTAGATAATGAAGAGCCTGGAACTTATTGCTGATAGATTCCTTGAATTAGTTCAGCTTTCCGGTACCCCACAGAAAGGGCTAATAACCATTTGTGATGTTATCCTCCCAGTTTTCGGGTGCCTTTTGAGTATCAGTTTCATTTTGGCGACCGGCGAGCAATGATCTGGGGCTATATCAGCTCGTCTCCTTATTCCTAAACCCTCCATGGTCATACTGAACTTTTTATTGATGTAGGTATGGTCGATTTGTTTCTGTAGAGTGTGATCCATGTACGTCTGGGTATACGTTTGTGTGGGAATATTGTGCCGTCGATAACCAATTTGTTGAAGGCACGTAGATTTACATTCTTGGCATTTGGATCTCCCAACGGAATGGTCAAATACTTTGATGAGCATCTGTTTACTATTGACTATAGCCTATCATAAAATTGATCTTTAATGTCTACATTTCATTCGTTAGTAGGGGCATAGCACTGGATGATTTTCATTGTAATGCCCTATTTCTTTGTTTTGAACAATGCTTTGATGATCCGGAGCCCATGGGATTCCCATCCTATAAGTGCCTTTTGAGCTTGTTTGTACAACATCAGTGCAACTCCTTGTGTGTGTGAGGCATTTTCTTCTTGATGGCTAGTCTTATTTGTCCAACCTACATCCATTGTGTTTCACTGAATACAAGCAGCTCATGGTTGTATCTTTTCATTTTTGCAGCAATTTGGAACAATCTTCCGGTCTGATACATTGTCCAAACATTCCATTTAACTAAAGGGATGGTTATTCTGATTGCCCGAAAGGTCATCGTCCTCGTGACTTCCAAAGGAACTCGGCTCTTATCATGCGACGTCGCCGATTATTCTTGTTTAGTATGTGGTTGCCAACCTCATGTCCAACCCTCCTACTTTGTCGGTTCTTCTGGCCGGCTGTAGCTGCAGAGGGTATGCAGACGGACTGGATACAAACAGGTACTTAAATGTTTATGTACCAGCTACAATCTTTTAAATTTGTGAGTGGACAGTGAATACAGAGACGAAAGCAGTCAGGTTGCTGCTAGGACCAGTCCGTGAATCATTCAACTAAGTTACAGTGGAGCAGCAACAAAAGACGCAGTCACTTGCTGGTCACTAGCCAACAGTAGACTCAGACGCCATCCATCCCATCAGGAACCGGAAACCCATGTCCGGCATTAGTTTTAGAATTGACGTTTTTAAAATCCCCTTAAGTGGATCACACTTAACCATCAACCACAGTTTTGGCGCTTGACAGTAACTCACTTTTCATACCATCAATTTCGTGAACAACACTTGTTTCACCAAGTGGCAGTGAGTAGGAATTCTCTGTCAGTGTGTATGGACATATTGTCACATGAGAACATGTGGAGAGGGTTAGCATACTCTCTTTTCTCTCAGTCATAATTTGGCACTAGTGGATTGTTAATTTCTCTAAACAGTATCATAACAGTAAATAACTTACATCACATTAAAAAATCATATTTCAACCTCATGATTCCCAAAACACTACAGATCATACATAACTCCATTTTAGTACACTCAACTTACTGTGGCACATCACATAAATTTTTTATCTCTCAGTGCAGATCAATAGTACTTCGTATGTGTTGATGTACAATAATAGGGATGTGAACTAGTAAGTGAAGTTTTTGCGTTCAGAAGAAAAGTTTGACAACCCCATGATGTTCAGATATGATTTGATTTACCACTGAACACATCCTTACACAACTTGTGTTTGCTTGTCTTCCCTCATTTCTGTTCTTATACAAACTTCATCATGATGAAACCTTAATGATTTGGAATGACTATTATCTGGATGGCTGTGTAACCTAGTAAAACCTACAACTAGTGTTAAACTACTGAGTAGAATTTTGATGATTTTATTATTCTTATCTCTACTAGCGAACCTAACTACTTACCATAAACTTGAAAATTTTACATTTTCCTATGTGTGATAAAATCTTTCTCCTACATTGCCTTCATAAAGATTGAACTTTTGCATATTTACATATAAAGATTCTTCCATAGCAGAGAACAGTAGGAATCAGACAAATTAAAAAAGAGTTATTGGATAAAAAGACAGCGAAATCAGTGAGAGTGTAGTGTAAGCAGTAAATACTGAAGACAATGAGTGAGAAAGCGCAAAATCCTTAACTTGATCAAAGTCAGAGAATGAAACCGTCGGAAGCCGGTTCAGTGACACAGCGGTCAGGAGTTCACGCGAAATACTGATCAGACCCATATCATGATGAAACGGTCATCTAGCGCTTCCAGTTTTAAGTTTCAAGTATATCAAACGGTCTTCTTACAGGACAATAAACGTGAATTGATTGCAAACCTCAACTCGTGATGTACCATTAAGAGATCTTTACTCTAATAAAAACACAACGCGTAGTAACAACATACAAGTGCGTGAATAGTAGCTGCCACGTGTTTTATGGTAAAAACAGTTTTTCAACAGCCAGATGAAAATAAAATCATGCAGATACACAAGGTGGTGCAATTAATACTTAAAACGTCTCAACGAACCGAACAGCATTACACCAAACCTTCAACATTTATAACAAATACAGCTGTTTACTGAATAATAATAGTAAGTAGCGTAGAGAAATACACTAAAAACAAATTGCATGAGAAGGGAATAAAATCACAAATGTGACAGAACTTATCGCACTCTGTATATCACCTCAGCAATTATTGCACATCGATACACCCTCGTATAGCCATCTGGTTCAAAGTATTCAAATGTGATGAATGCAAATGTAGGGATGTCGAAAGTAACAATTATTATCCTTCGTTGAGTCACAGTCACATACCAATTCTCCGTTTGATCGGTTCACTTCAATGTAGTTCACGAGTTCACTTCTAGTGATAATAACTATACGGTAAGGGAAACCACGATATTTCCATGTATTAACTTAAATTTCTTGAGATATATGGTAAGTAAGCAGGTGAAAGTGTTAGCTATCAATCAGCCTGCTTAAGTTGGATGAAGCTGGAGAGGTGAGGATGCTGCAATGTGATAGCCACTCTCCGATACTATAGCATAGGAAAACATTGAAGAAATTACGTGCTTGCTCAATGTCCTCCAATTCATTACGTACATAACACACATAAATCCGTAAGTATTCATGAGATTTAGCGATAAAATTGTAAGTTATACAGAGTTGTTTATCGAAAAACATATATATTGAGTTTTGATTGTAAATCTCAGAACGATGTAATTTTTCGCTGATCAGTTTCAGAAAAATATTCTCGTAAACGACTATCAATTACTAATAATTTTGAGTGACTATGGTGCAACGGTTGAAAAAGTAAACACTGATTCTATTTGTAGTCACAATAAAATAAGTTGTTGACACATGGATGACTGTCTGCTTATTAAGTTAATCAAAAGCGGCTTAACCAAATTTAATGTACAAATCTCAAATATAGGTGTATTGCTGTACACTGTTCATTCAGTGATTCAATTTCTATTCATCAAGAGTGAAGTTCGCTTTCATTCATTGAAAATGTAGTAGAAATAGCGCTCTGAAAAGCCACTTCTCCAATAGAGTTAATGACATGATAAGAAGCTAGATGTATCATTTCCGATATCCAGTCTAATTCTATCTGATATATCGAATTTATAGTATCATAATCGTCACAATACTTCGTAATAACAGTAATCACATCCTTTCCGACAAATGATATGGAGGAAATGGTCTGAATGCGTAAAGAAGTTGACACTAGATTACCTCAGTTAGGATAAGCATTACATGACTACTGGAAACACAAAATCCTGGTGGCAATGAAATATTCAGAAGCGATTTATGTGCTGATTGCAAGCGACATGAAGAAAACCAAACGGTCGAACTGTTCTATGCCCTTTTTCATCTTTGAAGGTGATGTGTTAAGTACGAAAATTGTTATTGTCGATTTATTAGGATTCCCATACGACGTTGAAAAATATCCTGATTGATTAATGATTCATCAAGCAGAGTCAATACTAAGTTAATTTCAGATATGGAACTTCCCATCAAACGATCTCCACAACATCATAAAGCAACACATTACATCGGTCGAATTAACAGGATGCAAGAAGTCCCCTGCCCATGAGCAAGCGAATGATGGTAAAGCATGTAGGCCGACCTATAAGCATCACCAACATTGCTTTGAATATCTAATTTTCCTACTCTATCAGTCTGTTGGCTGAAAGTTGAAACCATTAAAATTCCAGCGCTGAGAATATTTCAGATTTAATTTTCAAATTTAAATGAGGGCGCTGCTAAAACTTAAGTATTTATGATCACCAAGTTTTCATAGACACATTTCCAATCGGATAACTTCAGTTAATAATATTTGGAGCACATATCAAAGAATGGAATCAGCAAATTGTGAGCGTCGCTCAAAGTTATGTTATATATATACCAACTTGTGAGTAGTATCCACTGAAATAGTAATGAACGTCTCTTCATAATCGTGATGCCCCAGATGAACCGTTCGAAAATGTGAATATCTCTGAGTTACCTTGAAAGTATCTTAGTTATTACTTACTTCAGTTATCGCTTCATAAATGCATACTGTTATAAATCTTTTAACTAACATATATTTATGTATCTGACAGACTAATGATGAATATATCAGATTGATTTATTGTTAAAACAAAAACTAAAACAAATAATTATTTACTTGATGTATCATCAGTTTGGATTGGAAGTATATGCGCCACAGCAACGATGAGTGATAGCTTCTTCTAGCAATAGAACAGCATATGACCGTTGGATTTTACAGTTAATATCTCTACCATGAATTTGACTTGTTCAGTTCACTTTCTTCCCACGTAATCTCAATTCGATAAAACGTCCGACAGAATTCACTGTTTTGTCATGTCATTACAGTATCAAACATAGTCGTTTGTTTTTTTCGTATTCCAAATCTACTCCCTCATATATATCCATTCTCATCAGTCTTAGGTACTAACAAGGCTTTTTAATCAAAGTATTCGTCTTACAATCTGAATGGAGATGGTTGCTCTCAAAACTTCATCAACAACGAGTCATCGAAACGATCGCATTCATGATATATTGCTACAGCTCATTTTCCTTAATAATCAACATAATTGTAATTCGGGAAATGATTAAGAAAATCGTCAAAACTCAATCGTAATTGCATATATGTTTATTAATCATTATACACCTAACCTATATATTTATTAACATGTAAACATTATTATTAATAATCCTTTAATAGTCATATGGAAAATAGTCACAGTTCACTGCATAGATATCCAAACTCATTGACTTCTAATGGTAGAATTGTATTCTTCTTTCATGTACGCCCATCCTGCAAATGAAAACCACCAATGGATTACATGTTAAGATCATTAATCTAAGCGTCCACTGTATGTGAAGTGACCTACTTTTATGAATGAACGCGACTGGTTTGACAGAAACATTCATGATTATAACCAAATGTACCAGCGATTGTTTTGCTAGACCTTTTTGTTTAATTGTACCAAAAACCAGAACACTCCGTCGTTTGTGACCTTCACCTTTGCTCACATAGGCACGGCGGTCTCGCCTGTATACCTTGACACGATCTCGGTATTGTTTCGATACCACGAGATCGCGAACAAATATACTTACTTATACGGATCCTATATTCTTACTTGTTTCGGTTTTACGGAGGGATGTAACCTTATAATTGGTAGGAAATATACCTGAAGTGGTGACCATAGTCAACCGCGACTCGTGCAATTACATATGCGAGATAACACCAGAATTTAGTTATCCGTTCAGAATTCCAAGGCTAATATTTCTTATCTTTCCATTGTTGAACTGAATGATCACAGGCAATCAGTCTGTACTTTCCCATGTGCATGCAGCACAGTTTCGAGTCGGAACAGATTGACTGATCGTAACCTCGTTCAAAAGTTTATAAATTCGGATTGTGGCTGCCAGTTGGATCCAGAAAAACTGTTTCGTTCTTTTAAGGATGCAAATAAACCCCAGTCAAAAAATGCAACATTGCAAAACTAACATCTGTGTAGGCTCATTTTTGAACTTCCCATAATGGCGAATGAAAATGGAGTGATTGTGACTGCGGCTCGAAGTGGTTCAGGATGGTAGTGGTTTCTTTGTTTTGTCTGCAGTGAATTATTGGCTGCAGTACAATCCTAACCTATCATTTAGTACAGTACAATTTCAAAAATGCAACCACTACAGTGATTGTTGCTGAAAGCCTTTTGCCTAATTGCTACGAAAATCCAGTCATATATAGTGACGAACACTTTTTGAATGAACAGATTGATTAGACCAGGTTTTGCTTCGAGTGACGATTAGATTCTACATATTTCAAAGACCGGAACGTGAAATTGTGCTCTACTCTTATTGTTAATCATATCACATATTATTCTTACTCTGCAAACAATGCGTGGATCGGGACAGATTGCTTCTCCTTGAATTTGTCGCGTATTAATTTTGGCTACACCTGAATCACATCGAAACGATTGACCGTTCACGACGATTTGGCCACCACCAAAACATGAGTACTGAAAACAAACATCGAATTCATTAGTGTACAAAGCGGATTATCAAGTGGTCACAAAAATATGGAGGTATACCAAAACTAATGCATAAACAATAACATTAACTAATGAAGACCGTCTGTTTGAGCACATCACCAAGTAGTGTAGATGGTCATTTTCTTACAGCTTAAATTTTAATCTATGCAACCTGAAACACGCAGCATCTTGTAAGATTTATATACCGATAGTAACATTTACCGATTTACATATATATACAAAAACACTGACGAATACAGAAGAACGTCTTTCGATACAGACGTGAGTTGTTCACTTGACTGATCGTCATGAAGTGCTTGCTATCGTCGATGGTCAAGTGTGGTTTGTGCCTAAAATATATGAAACACATTTCACGAAGTGATAGTGAACATATACAAACGAAGTATAAGTATTAACCACAGGTTCTTCCAAATTTACTCGGATGATATTTAATACATAATTACAATCCACGTGCCTCTTACTGTGTGTTATGTGACAGGAGTTTTCACAAAGTTAGTGATAAGATATTTCTTACAGGTTACCTGATGGCAAGTTGCCTTGACTCGAGGATCTTGTGTTGTTTTCCCACTCATTTCTGCTCTCCAAGCTCCCTTATGAGTAATGCACAGTGAATCATTCCCGAAATCCTGACCAAACATGTTCCCTCTTCGCGCTGACATAAACAGAAAAAGAGTAAAGGATCATTGTCACGATTATTATTATTATTATTATTAATATTATTATGGTGTATAATACTGCAGCATATGATATTACCTCGTAAAAATAATAAATCAGCATGTACATAAGACATTGATTCCGTTTCAATTTCAGTAATTTATCAGACGTTGTGGTATGAATATGGAAGCGGCGAAGACTTCACTGATAATATTGTTTATTAAGTGATCAAAAATAATTCTGAGGCAGTTACATTACATTAGATGGATTCTGGAAACCCTAGTTAACTGTAAACACCCGAATTAATAGCATGACAGGATCCGGACAAATCCAAGAAGGTGTAATCATGTCGAAGTACGTGAAAAACAAAACACTCAACCTTCTACGGGGAGAAGATAAAATTTTGAATGCAGAATAACTACATTTTATCATAGTATTTACCATGCGCTTGACGCAATAGAAATTCAGATATTTTATGATTGACAATACACCTTTCTTCAAACTTGTTGTTCTCTATGCATATATAATTCCCATGTAACTTCACTTGATACCTCAAACTCATGAATCAAAAAATCAGTTATCGCGCTCCCTTCACACAATTATCCAAAGTTAGGTTGATTATTATCACCACATGAACAACTTCACACAAGTTACACAATGTTCTATTGTCATTGTTTACAACATGTGACCAGGTAATGAATCTATTTCTTTGCACCTTCACGATGATTCATTCATTTCACTGGTTGGTGGAACTAAATCTTCACGATTTAGCACTTTTCAAAATAGCCAACATATCATATTTGGCAAACAAGTACAATTCAATGCTGCAGATACCTGTAACTATTTCCGATCTAACAAATTAGTCGCCTCATTTCAATGCATCAATTTTTCTGGTTAAAAATTATGATGACTGTTTCCATAAATGATGTTCAGTTGGGCATATGTATGAAATCAAATCATAAAACAATTCATTCACTGCAGTTATCTTTTTCAATATATCTCATATTCGTCATTTTGTTAAAACCTGACTACAACCCCGTGCGATCTGTTACCTCAATCAAATTGAGCGTTTTTATTCTTTTATTTATATTTCAGTATTGACTGACATTGACTTCAAGAAGATTTGGTTCGAAGACTTCCTCATGTATGAATGAGCTGATATTGCTACGTCAACGGGTGACAACAACGAAAATTTGTAGTTGAAAATTATGCACTTCAATACACATGTATTACTAAGGAAGAGTACACTTACCAATCGGAATATTTTGACTGTAGTCACAATAGGTTACGAGTGATTCTTGAAAGAATTTCTGCATCGGCTGTGTTCAAAAGATCATTGGAAATCAGTGAAGTTAATACTATGTCAACACTAAGTGTAAATGATTGAATGAAAGTGATGAGTTTATTATTTTATTGAGGTTGATTGAGGCGAGAAATGATAATTGTGTGCGAAAATTGCCTATTTACATCGTTAGTGCATTATTTCGCGAAAACAAGCTGCGTTGAGTGCAGACAGTGTTCACGCTCGTTTCAATTATTTCTTCTGTAACTTAGATTTCCCTGAATCGTAATTGTTTCTGTAGTCCTGCAGTCTGATCTGACTCAAACCGTCATTCTTTATGCAGAATAGAAGAGTGCATGTCTGTTTGATTACTCATTCAAACATTCTGCAAAATACACGTGAACTCGTATTTCATTACGGTTTGCTTTATTCAACTTGCATTTATCATTTCTATAGATGGACAGACCTGTTATGAGTTTCCAATATAGTAATATCGACAGCTGTCCACACAAAATGCTGCTTATTCGTTGAACAGACAACATGGGCAACAACCTTTTGTGAGATAGAACAAACACGACTGTAGCACAATAGGAAATTAGGAAAAAACTCTGGAGGGTTTTAGGTCATATATTGAGTGAACCTCTCAACTAAACTACCAAGCAAGCCCTAACCCTTAATCCTTAAACCATAAAGAAAAGAGGAAGACAGAAGAACACTTTACTCTTAGAATCGGAAACAGACGTAGAAAGACTAAACGGCAATCGTTTAAAACTGAAAAGGAAGGCGCAGGACGCAGTATGTTGGCGAATGCTGGTCAACGACCTATGCTACACGAGGCACAGTAGGCGTTAGCTAGTAAAAATCAACCTGGTCAGCTGCAGTGATTTTCGTGTAAACACTTTATCAAACACTCGGAACACAAGTAAGATGGACTAAACATTACACTGATACTACGTACGATAGAATGCTTCAAAACAATTTTCCACTAAATGAATGCAACATATTTGTTTTGAAAACGCGGTTGGTAAGTCACTAACCTGAATGATAGGACATTTATCCATCAATGAACCAGTACCACCTACATTGGGTGCACCTTTGAAATATTGTTCATGTGGTGGTAAATGTCCCGTATAATGTCCTATAGCACAAACCCCATACGCCTTCTGATGATAACACTTCAAACTGTCTTGTTCTTCACAGTACGGTTCCACGTTCTTTCTCCTGAAATGCAATAGAATTGATCGCTAAGTAAAACGCGTTAGAGTTATAGTCTTCCACTGCTTGTAGTGAAGTAATGATTTCAGTAGTAGTAATGAAATTATATCCGTATGAATAATATTAATAACGATGATAACGACAACAAAGAATATATCATTTTTGATAGCTGATAAGCTGACACAAGAATCAGAGCTCACGTTATCTCTAACTACGCAAAACATTCTAGAACATTGGTTGAAGTCCGATTGTCACGTTTCCGCCAGTACAATACTGCGGCCATATTTCCCACTGTAAATTGCAGTGGTTACCACCCAAAAGTATCATCTGTGTACCACGGATTTCACAAATTCTTCTCAGTAACTGATATTTATTTCGATGGCTAATTGAAGTTATGCTATAACTAACCAATCAAATTGTAGTTTAAGCGTTCGTCACGTGATCTGGTCTGACGTGCCCGTAAACTATCGTTGCTGCAAATGACCTAGTAATTGAAGGAAATTATTATCACATTATACTGATGCAACTCATAACTTTATTCATTTCCATAGGACACGCTATATTGGTCAACATGTTCACTCGCCTCACTTGGTAACTTTCATTTTCTTATTTATTGTACTAATCTAATTGTTTTTATGCTTAGAAACAAATAAAGTTTAAAACCCAATTGGTCTTGTTTGGACTATAGGTTTCCCACAGACTCTGTGCTCGACAATATTGCGTTTACAGTAAAAGAAGTACATCAGTAAGACTAATTAATTCCTACAGCAACTCTTACCAAAGAAGAAAGTGATAAGCCGATTGCATAAACCTTACCCTAGTTTCATTTTCATCATGTATGCGTAACAGCTTTCCATGACAAACGAACAACCCAGATTCTTTCCATAATACCATGGTTCAGCAGCTGCGTAATTAACATCCCACCAGCTATTGTTGAAAGGAGAAAGTAATAAATAATCACTGACAAAAGGAAATACTATTAAACAGATACTTTAGTAGCTTAATAGTCCTAAGATACAATGGTCAGTTAGGTGAACTGATTTTTACTGCAACATCCCCACAAAAATTAGCTTTTTCAAAAGGTTTTGATTTGAATCATTGACTATAGATTCTAGACCGCAGACGGAAAGCAAGAAGAATAAGATAGCTGTTTGGACTGAATTTTGAGTCACTTAGTTTTGTTCTTGACCATGAAAACCATGAAAATTCTGCAATCTCTACAAACGCTCTTATGCTCAGATTCAACATTCGTATACTAGCCACGCGATGTTATGCCTAAAGATCGTGTGAGGAGATGAGACTGGTAGAGCTCAACCCTGTCGAGCTGCAGGTGGTACTTCACACTCAGCTTTGGAAAATGGATGCAATGTGTGGGGATCGGATCCCGTCTCAGTGGGGTTGATGCTAAAATCTGCCGAGGAATCTGATGTTAAGGATTAACAGCTATCCTGCGCTTTCGGTTTCTAGTGGTGGTCTGGATAATGTCGATTCTGGATTTATACTATAAGTATCTGTTTTGCTTCTCGGTGAGCATCTAATACGTCAGTTCTAGTGTTACCAGTCAATCAAGCCCAAACTTTATTGACTTACCCTGAATCTTTGAAGAATGCCAATGTTAACTTTGAGAGAACGGTTTTCACTCCTGTAGCACCTGCCATTGTTTCATCCTGAAATGAAAAGAAGTGAATAATGAAATATAAATCACACTTTCTTTAAGGTTATCAAACGGTGAAGATAGTCTAAATTGTAGAACTGAACACCACTGATCAACACGTATTACAGGAAGTTGCGTCGCTAATCATTTTGGAAATGTTATCATACATGTTTTCAAATTTCAACACCAATTTATCGGTATGAGTCACTCTGGAGGATACGTCTTAAAGAGAAGACATGAAGCGAAATTCTCGACAACTTGGAAACAAACGAATTTAAGCAGTCAAATGATCATGTTCTGTACATCAGTTGTTCGAAGAAACGTCTAAAAATATTCTACTGATTCAAATGAGACCTTTACATCATGAAACACATGGACTGACAATTGAGTGATTGCTAGTATCCCGTTTATCTAGTACCTAGCACCAATCCAGTGATTACACTCAAGCGCTATTTTGCTGTGCTTCGAAAAATCATGCAACTCAAAATAAGATTGTAGTCAATAGTTTCTCCAAACCCAAAAGTATATGTCACCACCTAACTTATTCTTCTCGGCTAACAACACTGGTTGACTGAAAACAGATAACTACAATGATGAGTGATGCATGCGACTGGTTAATCAGTAATATTCACATCACATATAGTACTGTTGATGTTCTCTGAAGTTTGTACAGTTGAAAATTGGTGATCATGGAAGTTGATAATGAGGGTATAGATTAACAACTTCAACTTAACACAGAAATTTCCGAAAATAATCAAGTTATCAATATGATTTCATTCATAAATACTTTGCGTAAGTTGACCTACAGTGTAACACAATTAATTCTACATTTTCAAACATCAACAAATAATTTAAATAACAATTCCTTTGATTTTCAGATAACCACTAGAATTTTTCATTCGTTCAAATATATTGCATTTTATTGAACCACTGGAGAGTTAACTTATTTCCCATGAATTCAACATTCTATGTTTGTGGTGAATACATTGTTCAGATCAGGACGTAAATTCACAATGATTTTCAACTGAATATTAACAGATGAATGTAATTTATCGTCCTTCGTGTTGATTCATTTTTACCAATTGTCTCGCGTTCTGGCTGATGGTCTTGTAGATTCATTTCACGTAGACTTTCCTTCACTGTTACACAAATGGGAGCACTCGACAGAAAACAACACAACAACTCTTCATGCTGTCTCAGATTTGTCAGAAAGGTGTTGTGGTGCATCGAAACCCACTTTGATAGTCAGTTTCATTTAGGTTATATAGAAAACCACTCAGCAAACATGTGTCAACAAGAAGGAAATCTGAATCCTGGATTTTTTGGGTAATGGCTTCAATCAAGTGAGAAAATATTTTCTACTGCAGTATGTCGGACCAAACTAACACATAATGCGAGTTACAGTTCAAAAACCACATTGACACATGAATAGTTTCCATACAATTAAAGTGAATCTCGTTCAATCCATTCCAATCCGCGTGACAAGATCCAGTTAATGTCTTTGTAAGTACGTAGGTGAAGCAATCACATTCAGTCTAATTTTGCGGTTGTAATTACAAAATTCAGTTGTCTCACACAGCTAGACTTCACTAAACAATAATATACATCATCCTCATAAATCGACTCCTTTCTAACCAAAACTTCTCCGTGTTTCACACTTTAAAAGGAATCGGACGAGTAGCATTTCTGAAACATACTGTGAGGCGTTAGTAACGGAGTGACCAAGAAACCATAACAGAATAATATCTCTTTTCAGAAGAAC